AATATTTTTAATATGTTTAAAAATAAAAATTCAGAACATTTACTTTTATCTTTCTCATACAGTAAATATTAATCAGGGAGAGGACTATCTACCCAGACTGTAAGATCAAATTGGCCAGTCTGCATAAGGGAAGTAACAGGAAGTAAAAAGTGAGGCCTTTGCTTCAACATTGCAACCCGGACATAGTAATTAACATGCATGTAAAGAAAATCTTATATTAACAAACCCCACAGTTTTATGAACCAATGATTATGAAACTAAACTAGAGGGACAGTTTCAAATAATCCAGATCCTATACCAAGTTGCCTTCTGTATGTTCAATTGGACCAATTATGTTGTTCCTTCTGTGCATAGGGTTAGTTTGCTCAAGGAAAGGTAATTCTGATATGTTCATACTTTCAAGAAAATACAACTCAAGACTGCTACCCCAAATTTAAAGTTTTAGCAGTAATCTGTAACATCCCTAAGAAGAAATGGATCAAAGATTTGGGAAAAAAAGAAAAAGAAAAAAAAAAAAAACAGAAATGCTCAGAGCACATTATTCCCATAAGAACAGCCATTCACTTCAGAGAATTATAAATTCACAAGGCCACTGCTAGTGTATTGTCAAGATTCCAGTTTTAAGATTTCTCTACACACAAGGAGCACAGGTTCAACCCAGCCTGCTCGATTACTATGTTGGTTATTTATAGAATATTTCTGAACATACTGAGAGCCTAAAAAAACTCAAGTACATCAATCACTAAGATAATTACTCCTTTCCAATATATTTGTGATTGCTGAAAATCCTGCTTAGACTACTTTCGCATTCCTACAGGAAGAATTCAAGTGCTGTGAACACATTTCCATTTACAGTAGAAATAGAATGAGGTGTTTTTTGCTAAAAAAAAAAAAAAAAAAAAAAAAAAGATTGCTGAGGCCTGCTACTAGAGATTACAGAAATCAAAGAATTATTCAGGAAGGAAAGACAGAGGAAGAACATGAAAGGAAGGAATCAATTTCTGTTTAAACACAAAGATTTTTCTAGATGTTCAATGGTTTATTTTATGAAACAGATATAAAGCAGTAATTCAAAACTTGTAACTCCAAATACTTACGGTGTTAAATATTCTATGTAGGGGTTCAAATCCTAGCTGCCAGAAAAGATGTCCAGTTCAATAAACAAAGGGTCTCTCAATAAATAAGTTACAAAAGCAGTATTTTGCTAGTATTTTCCCTTAAGATTTGCAGTTTCAGCTCAAACTGATTTAATGTAGCTAAAATCTGACAAGCTCAACCTGCCCTCCAGAAACAGGTTTCATAGTCAATAGTATGACTATGTTATCAAAAACTCAATTCATACCCCTCTAACATGGTGTAAGTAAACATCCTGAATTATTATGTATGCTTTATACAAAAAAAAGGCCAGCAAAAGAAACAGCAAGACACTTACAGCACTGACACCTGGTCCAAATATCAATCCAGAGATGAAGTAATTTTGACTTCATTTCTAGAACTCGTCTCCCTTTGCCTGTACTGCTTCTTTCCCCCAGCACATCTCTGGTGTTAAGGCAGCAATCCCTTTACCCTGATTTTTGTGCTTGTTTGTGAAGGTCAGCAATTAGAACTGGACTGTGTGAGGATTGAAAACAGACAAAAGAGATGAGATTCTCAAAGGATTCTCAAAGCCCCCAACAATCGTGGCTGTTAAAGAGATGTTAAGGGAACTCAGAAGCTGAGTTTTCAGTTGGTTAGACTGTCAGCTTACCAAGACAGCAACATTGCATACCTTTACTCAAACCTGAAATTAAATTGCCTCTGAACAATATATCCACCCAAATAGTTCTAAAATTAAACTACTGTAATGGCAAGAAAAACCCTACACTAAACAAATGCATTTTGGCTCTGAAAAGCAATTACATGAAAATGTCACGTTATGCATGAACTCTAAGAGACTACAGCGCAGACTGGGAAGGCCAACAGATGTGCAAGAGACAGCACAGGATGACTCATCCACCTGGGATTAAATCAAACACTTTTTCCCAAAAAGGGTAGGAGTGCATAATAATCAGATAGAAAACTAAGTAAAAAAAATACTTCAACAAGAAATTCTAAGCAAAATTTAAAGATAATGCAAGCAGACAAATGTAAATTCTGGAAGTCTTAAAAACCAAAAAGATAAGTGAAGTGAAATGTCTGCTTTTAAAAACCAACAGCAACCTCCCAAATTCAGTATGAAGATAGCCAAGGATCAATGCAATAGCTGAGTACAACATAGGGGTACCGGAAGGGATCATATGGATACAGGCTGTGCATTATAGCAAGCTTGGAGCCAAAGCACAAATGACAACCACTGAATGACAGTCAATGAATGGCAACTTGTACGAAACCACGAAAGCACTAGTGCTCTCCTGCCAATATACACTGGACAGTAACAGAACTCCAATAATCCCAAAGAAAGTAATTATGAGATGACAGTTATTTTGTAGGTAGGATGAGGGTCAAGAAGGGAAGCCATGCTGAGATTAATCCTTTAGCTATCATAAGCAATTACTTCTTGGAGCATCTGGCCAAAGAAGTCACAAAAGGAAAAACACATCTTTATTTAGTCTGCAGAACCTACTTCGAAATGTAGCTTCTGAAGAACACTAACGGGGTACCAATGTACTCAAATCCAACATTCTCGTGAAGCGAAAGAAAACCTTACACCTTTTGCCATAAAAAATTCACTGCTAATTTCAGCTAAGGGAGTGACCTAACTATGAAGTCACTATTAAAAGATAGTTAAAGTAAAAGATAACATCTAAAAGGGCAGAACACAAGCATCATGAAAACTTTTAGAGCTGTACATAGAACACTGAGGAGCATCTTGCTGAAGGAATCCATACTTTTCCAGAGACATCAAGAACAGAAAAGCACCCAAAACACGTTAAGGATGGTATATTTTGTTTTGTAGCCTGATATTCCTGGTGTTTTCCTTTTAAATCTTAAGCCTTCTCTACATTGATGTTTACTACAGAGAACAATGGGAAAGTTTACATGCAGGAGCTTTTCCTCTGTGATAGAGACAGCTTGAGGATCTGTCTCAGACAATCAATTTTTATAAAGAAACAAGAAAATTGACATTTTGGGGTGCTCATAATTTGATAGCATTACCCCTGGAGTTCTAAATAAATTCAAATATGAAAAAGTCAAATTTTACATGGTAAACTACTGTTGAAGGCAGTTTCATTTTTAAATGTATTTTAAGAGGATTCAAGAGACTACAAATAAATCTGTATCAAGCAGATATTGGAAAAATTACAAAAAAAAAAAGAATTAACAGGCACATTACCATGCCAAATATCATACGGAAAAGCCAAAAGAGCAGTTGCAGGGGGTACTGTGCTACCTGGATCAAAATTCTTTGTATGAACTGGAAAGTAGATAAGGAATGATTTGCCGGAAAGAACATACCTGAGTTTCCTAACACCTTGAGACTATCTTTGCAAAGGCTCTTTCAGAAATCAGAATGCTTTGTGAGGTTCTGGTATATAACCTTAGCCCTGTGTAACAGAGTGATGTTTCCCCACCCATTTACTCTCACAGTTTCTTGCTCAAAAATATAAACCTCTGATGATTTCTGTTTGTATTCTGTTCTGTATGTATTGGGAGCGTTCTCCCAATATTCAGTGCAAACAGAAAAAAGGACTTGCTAATTATTCCTCAGACTCAAAGAAACTACTTACCGGAGTCCCTGAACAAACTTGATCTTTTTTTGTCCTTCTCCCTGTGCTAGGTTTTGCCTAAGATCACTACCTCATCTTACTGTTATTACAGGGATACTAGAATAAAAAAATCCAACTCTTTACCTGTCATCTTTGCAAGACTCCCCTGTAAGGCATGTAAAGATATGAATGCCATGACTGATTCACTACAGGAGGAAAAGTAACCCAGATTCCTTCAATACATATATTTTGGATGATTTAAGTGGTTTTATGTTTGTTTTGGATTGTTTTTGTTTGTTGTTGTTTTTGGTTTTTTTTTTTTAATTTATCTCTAACATTTATTTATACCTGTTCAGTGGTGAGATTGCTAAAAATCTCAAACTTAATGCAGCAACATTCACTCTGCACATAACACACAGGTATGTGCCATATTCCTATTAATTACCCCATAATTCCAAAGTGTTTATTCCACTGAGGTCAAGAGACTATGTTGCAAAAATGACCATCATGTAAAATACTGTTAAAAATAAGACAAGCTAAAACTGGGAACTCCTTTGCTTAATGTTGAGACATTGTTTTCCTGTGACAGTACTTAGAGAAGTAGAGAAGGCAAAGGATACAATCTGGCAACCACCTCAGGAAAACAGACCTCGCAATCTGTTAGGAATTGACTTACTGCTTCCTTGAGAAATTTAGCCTCAATTGTCTGCTATAAAGAAAGCTTGCTCTCTTTGGACAATCAGGCTATCAGCTGTGCTTGCAACCATGCTCTGGATGGCACATAACCAAGTACAGATAAAGACATCAATTAAAGGAGCATGAAGGAACAAAAAGACACAGAAAAGCCTCGTCACATCAACTCTTTCTGGTTTTGTTCATTTTATTATTTTCTCTCATTACTTTTCCACTGTTTTCCACAGCTTAGCAGCCTTTGGACTTTCTTTCCATGTAGGTATGTTGCTACTCGTATCAGTTACACCCCACTTCTGTCTGTTTTACACCTACAGGTACTTCCTACAGCCTTCCCAATTGTAAGGCTCAAACCAGCTTTGTTTAAGAGGAATTAAGTGACTACTTGGTATCTTTTAAATGGCTGAAGGAAGTATTTTGAGATCTATTTTAAGCTTACGGTAATGAGGAAAGAATGACTCTGTCACTGTGCCAGGAGCTCTCCAGCATACCTTTACCTAGAACACTAAGCATAATCCTCTCTCAGTCATCTGAAGTCTACAGTGAACAAGCTAGAGATACAATAAAGAGAAAATGCAGTTTGCCATTTGGATCATAGAAATAGCTTGGTATCTGCAGCATTACCTTGCCTGTGCTTTGTAAGATTGTAGTTCTTGTCCTCCATACTCTCTCCCTGCTGACAATATCTCTGGTTACATCCACTTCAGCATCAACAAAACTTCTCTGTTTAAGAGCAGTTATGTCATCATCCAGATCAGTTTTGATAGTGGATCTTTTCTTTGCCATGATTTTTGCTTTGATAGCAGCAATTTTTTCCACTGACATGGCTTCAGACAAGGACCTAAATGAGCAAAAATAGCAGAAGAGACTGAATAACAGCACAAACAATTCTTCTGAGAGGATTTCTGAATGAGTAGTTTCCTCCTGCTTAAATTTACATCTATGCCATAAAAAAGTCACCTTACATATACATAAACATTATATGAGCTTAGCATTGATTCTAATGCCCAAAACAGCATTTTTCTGACAAAAGACTCTATACAGGTATTAGCACAAAAAAGGTCAAAAAAAAAATCCCAACTATAACAAGCAGAAATAAAGACTGCACATGTAAAGCATCAGGACTAACACTTCCATTCACAGTATCATCTGACTTTCAACTCCTAGTAATTTATAGTGAATTACAATTTTGTGTCAGCCAATCCCAGGCTTCCAAAGCATTAAACTAAATTCTGGTTGAGGCTCTGTTAGGCGGACTTGGGAACTTGGAAGATCAGTGTTACCTTTTCATAGCATGTAGGCCAAACAAACAACAGATGGTAGTAACTTTGTCCACGTTAAACTGTATTTGAAGTAGCTCAGCTCAGTTCAAGAGTGCAACATTTTTATCTGTTTGCTTTTAATTGTAAACACAGCAGGATTTAGTTGCCAAACACTGAGCACTATTGTTTTCCAGGTAAACTGAAGAATAAAAAGGACTGAATTGCACAATCCCAACTGCACATAACCAATCCTATTTTACATGTTTTTTTGAGAACACATTGAAAAATTACGCTGTAAAGCAATCTCCTTTTACACCTAAACTACTGAAAAAGGAACCTTATTTGTTGCTCTTAAATGAGCAACAAGAGTGACAAACACAAAATTCACTGCTTGTGAACGTTACTTGCACTTTTAAAGGGACAATCTTTTGCATTCAATCGTATTCTGTATTTACAGATTTTTACTAGGCAATTACAAATAACATTGGTCATCTTTACTACAATACTGTCTCATACTCCAAAACCTTTGCTTGTAACACACTGCAACTAACATCCAAATCATCGGTTTACACAAAACAATGTGCACAGTTACACTTTGTTTCTTAAACTTCCTGACTTTTAGTCAGGTATGACAATCAAATGGTGTGTTTTTTTTTTGTTGTTGTTCTTTTTTTTAAACAGTTTCCTTTTATGTACACCTAAACAAGACAGATGGAAAGAAGATATTTTTATGTGCTTAGGTGCAATTATACCTTACTTGGCTGTATTAATTGTTGAAAGGCTAACCAATAAGTTTAATCCTGGTAAAGAACAAGCAAGCATTCACAACATTGCTTATGCTCACGAAATAAATTTCTCAAGAATGCAGTTGCTCTATCAAGTGAAACTATTTATTTGCAAAATCCAATGCAGATGAAAGTGTTAACTGCATACTCATACACCTTCCTAGCAGGAAGCATGATTCCCATTTTGCATTCTGAGAGCTGACACACACAAGAAATAAAGCAACTACCTTTACATTAGGGTTTCAGAACTCAGGTATTTGAAAATGAGTTCCTAGAGTTTGGTATCCTGCTAAGTACCTACTAAGCACAAGATCCTCAGCATCAACAAGGTCTTGCAATAATTTCATTTCCTCTCTGCCTGGCTTAGGGAAGATATGGTGTAAGATACAAAAACAGGTGTCATTCTCTGCAAAATTCTGGATAGATTCAAAGAAAAAGAAAGGGGACGGTCAAGTTTTCGAACACTTTAATACTGATTACTACTTATGGCAATGACAGGACGTTATCCTCTGGTAGTCTACTGCCTCCTTGGCGGAAACAAGCTCACCTCTGCAGGGAGTCAAACTGAGGTCCTGCTAACCTTAAATGTATTCTTACATTATTCTCCTCCTTTTGTGCACAGGACACTCCTCAGTACAAGATTTTCTTCCTTTGAAATAGAGATCATCAGCTTTCCTTTGCAATTCTGCTCATTGTCTTTGACTGCTTAGATAAACACCATGGCAGAAGAAAGCCAAGTGGTGGGGGTTGGAAGGCAACGTGAGGCAACTGTTCTTACACTTGTGAATAAGAAAAAAAAAAAAAATCAAGATATCTCATGCCACACCATCTGAACTTCCACTCAAGAACAGGATTCTGACCAGGCACGAGGTTCTATCCCCTCAAGCATAACTGATTATAGCACCTAAGGGAAGGGGGGATAGAGGTGAGGCAAAATACTTCCAATGAGAGCTAGTGGACACAAGTAAGACCACATGCCTAATTGTTATTAGTCTTTTAATTAAGCATTATCCATACGAAATTGAAGTATTCTTACCTGATCTGCTCTGTTTGCACGATACCTTCTTTATGTCCTTCCAACCGAGCCGCCAACCGCTCCTTGTCAAGGCGCACACACTCTTCATCCTAGGAGTAACAGCAGTGCTTAAATTTTTGTGTATTCTCTTTAATGAAAGAAATACAGTTAGAATTAAAGCTATATAGAATTCACTTTAAGATTAGCAAGGACTATCTTTATTTCCAAGCATTTTTGAACTGTGCACTAGTATTAACTGTACAGCTACTGGAAATTTTTTAAGAATCACAATTAGAAAAATGAAAAGGAAACTACCATTCCCTTATAAAGTGACTTGCTGAGACAAGAATGCAAAATAATAGAAAAGCAGTAAGAGAATTTGAAGGTGACAAACAATAAGTAGGACAATATGTATACATACATTTTTGACAAGCTCAATTATGTTTTTACAGAAAACTGCCCAGAACTGTGACATTTTGATGCAGAACTTTCATAAATGGCATTCTTAATATAGAGAGAAGTCAAGAGTAAAGACTAGTAAAGTAACTTCCAGTTACTTAAGCGAGGATGGAGACAGACATGTAAGGTGAGAAAGCAACTTTATGCCATTTTTTCAGCTTCTTAAAGCTGATACCACTTATGTCTTATCGGTCTTATTTCTCCACAAAATCTAAATCATCGTCAAGTCTGTCCTACTGCTAAAAGGCTGAAGCACGGCAGAAACAGTCACTCCTGTGTACCAGGAGAAATCTGGAATCTCTACACTGAAACAGTTCCTGAATAGCTTAAAACAGACTTCACAGACTGAGCAGCAAAGAAACAAACAAAAAGATGGCCATAAACTGATCAGGTTCGTATGCAGAATTCTTGATTCTCCAAATCATGATGTTTTCAAACTGTACATCTACAACATAACGGCATCAGAACCACATAGGGAAATGTAGAATGTAACTCTACAGATCACCAATACATCATGTCAGAGCAATCGTGCTTGTGAGCTATTAAGAATGCCTAAAGTTCTTACTAATCTTATTCTGATAAAGATAAGCACAAGCACTGTTAAAATGCAATTCTGGAATAATGGAATGTATATATTTACAATAATCTTCTTCTAAGAAGAAATCAAAAGCCTCAGAGCTCCTGAAAACATGTACAGACAGATTTATAACAACTCAGAAGAAAAAAATGGATGAACACAGTTAAAAAGTAATTGAGGAAAAAAAAAAAAAACTCGTTTTTAAAACCAGGCAGAATTACATAATACAATATGTGCTAGAACTAGACATGTCAATTTTATTTGAGAGATAATTCTGAAAATACACTGTTTAATTATCCAACACATAGCCTCAGAAAATACTAAATCACAGGGACAACAGTTTTGTATACCGCTATAAAGAGATTAAAATAGCAGATAAATGCCCGTCTTATTGATATGTACTCATTTGTTTTAAGTTATGTCAGCTCCCAAATGGCACATAACAGTAATTACTCGTTACATAGCACTTTGATTCTAATCACATAGCTCCTAGCAGACAGATCATAATGCAACAGATATTTATAGATCCGTGGTCAAGCTTTACCCTTTCACACTCCAATGTACAGCCAGCAACTCAAATTCCAAGTTTAAACGAGAGGCTAGAATTCCTTAGTTCTATCTCCTCCTGGTTCATGTACACACTAGCAGAAGTAGCGTGTGCACCCAGAGGACAACTGAACTGCTATAAAATGGGAGAAAAAAAATATTATTTACACACACACACCCCAAATTTGTATCAATGACAGTTACTGTCATTACCTCTATTCTTGGTTTCTTTGCTTCTGCTAGTATTTCATCTGCTGCTCTTTTAACTACAAGAAAAAGAGGACATTAAAAATGGAGCATTGCAGAATACTTTCATAAAATAAACTTTGAGGCTACTTTTTAGTTAAACTATACCTTGAGTGGATCGTTGAAGGCCAATTTCAAGTGGAGCACTTCTGTCTATACTTGATGAGGTTGCTGTAATCAAACAATATTTCATGTAATTATAAAAGGTTTGGTAAGTATTTCAGTATAAAAGGATGAAGAACAACAGCTAAAATGCAACAGTGTAAATTCTAATTAGATATTAAGAAAATAATGTCTTTATCAAAGGTTGTCATACACTGGCACCAGAGATATTCAGAACTTGACTTGATATCAAGTTAAATCAGATTGCTCGGGGCCATTTGACTCTTCAAAATGGGGACTGAACCAGATGACTCTGTGGTCCCTTCCAACATTAGTCAGCAATTCTATAATCTGTATATACTACACAGGAGAAAACAGTCACAAAAATTACTTTAACCTGGAATCAAGATCTACTTGTTTATCTGCTTTTTGGAAGAAAGACAACCTGAGGGTCGCTCTAAAAAAGGCTTACTGCTCATATTACAGAAATCATCTCATATTCCAACGTAGAGAGACCACATGCAAGACAGAGCGAGATAAAGTAGGCCATATTTATCTTTCTCTGGTCACAGAGAAACCTCTTTTCTCTGACTGTTGGTAACAGAAATTTTAGCACAGTAGAATACCAGGAAAATCTGCCAGACTGAAAAAGCAGTGATTTGATACATTTTAGTATACTGCAGATTTTATCCCATACACTCATTGCATTAAAATCAAAGTTTCCCACAATCTAGAGAGAAGGAAGAAACAAACACGGAGCGTTCTAACAGATAACCATTAACCAAGGATGTTAATAATCAAGTAGCTCACTTCTAAATGTGTGTAGGAATGCGGCTCCTAAGCGTCTTAAAAATAGTTAAGTTCAGAATAAAATAATTGAAAGAAGAATTAGTTTGAGAAGTCTGAACGTAGTCAGTTAAGCTACAGATTGACACTTATGTGTTGCCCCCTCATTTATCCCATAAATGCAAATCAAGAGAGTACTGTGTCTTTAACAGAAAACATCACTCACATGTCTCCCCATTTAGGTATGCAAGTAAGTCTTTCCTATCAGGTCTTCTTACCACAGGAATGTTTTCAGTCTGAAAAGACAGCAGACTTGACATTAAACTGTTATTCCCTCAGAAAGACTCTTGATTAAGATTTTTCTACTTTCATCGACCACTCATCCGCACAAAGGAAGGAAAACATATCCCGTGTCACAAGCAAGCACAACTATCAAGCTTAAAAACACAACTACTTTCTGGAGGATGTTTAACTGCACAAAATGAAACACGTCATCTGCTATAAAACAAAGGGAGGACAGACTTTTTTCCTCCTTCACTTCAGACTTGCAAATAAGTAGTAGAGTATTTTGTAAACACACACACTTCATTGCATACCTTTTTCCCTTTCCCCAGACAAATTCAGACACTAGAATGCTACCATCATTCTCTGGCAATAACTGTGCAAACATTACTCAGCTCAAACCAGACAAAACGAAGTTCTGTATTGTCTACTTACTGCAGCACGACGGACATAAACAGGATGCGAAAGGTGCACATTATTGAGCAGGAACAAGATAGAATCCAAAGTGTAGTATTCCCTGGGCTGACCCTCCTTTCCGGTCCTGTAAAATCATGAAACACAATTTTTAATGTTTAACAAAGAGTTTTCCCTCCAAGCACAGTGGTTTTACTCACAGCTCTCCACCAGCATTGAAACACTCACCACAGAAGTTCCAACCTCACTGGGGGAAGGCAGAAGAAATAAAAACCACTCCTCAAGCATAACTTTCTTTAACCTGGAAGAGCTACACAATCACCTATTAAATGTACCAGAAGTGAAAGTTTGTTGTCTCTATAGTGTGGATATAATGCCACTGCTGCTTTCTTGGAATTTCTTTTCTACACAAAACAAAAATTATGTTGATCAAAAGCACCCAATAACCCCTTCAAAACTCATCACTAACAGGAAGGCTTAAAACATTACCTTCATAGTGATGCCTGAGAAAAACAAGCACACCTTATCTCACAGGGAGAAAAATGATTCAAAGTACTTCAGGAATTGGTAGAATAAAGGATTTTTCTATCACTCTTCCTTCCTTCCAAGAACTTAGTCTGTGTATTTACATGGTGGAAGGAAGGGTTATGTTTTGTTGCAAGGAGGAGGGAAGGAAAGAGACTTTGTATCTTTCAACCGCTAAGAAACAAAGTTGGCTGAATAACTGTAACAAAACTGGACTCTGCTGCAAGGAATTGTTTGGCTATTTTATTGTTTCCCTGCTATCTTTGATCAGGTAGCATCTGAACTTGTTCAGAGTACTGGTAGAAACAAAAGCTTCCTCCACATAGACTTGGCTCTGAAGTGAAGCCTGTGTCACGTGCCGCAGTTGTCACTTCATTTTACAATCAACACTGTAGATTCTCTCTTCTCAGGGTAAGTCATTATTTCTTTGAAGTGCGTCACATCCAATGATTATATTAGAAAGTCCAGCTGCTCATCTACTCAAGTTTCTTTACACTATTTAGCAATGAATGGTGTAATTTAGAAAACAAACACTGAACGGTTATCTATTAATTTGGAAATACGGTATTACAAAGCCCCAGGCATGGACAAAGCTCAGCAGAGCACAGCTGGTACTTCACCTAAGCCACACACGCAAGAAATCCCCATGCTCATTATCATTGCAAGAGGATGCTTTATCACAAGGACAATGCAAGATACTGCATGTTAACGGGAGAGGGTCAGATGGGAGAGCAATTGTACTGCAAGGAGAAAATCTAAGCCTCAACTGGCATTTCAACAGCAGTTCGTGATCCTTTCAGGCTTGCCAGAGGACCTGCTCAAAATAAAGAGGTAAAAGCAAGCTAAGCTGAATGCAGCTTACTTACAATGTTTGTTAATTGTGTGAAGCAGCAAAAGAAATTAATCTTCTTTTCCCATATTACTAATTACGTCAGTTATTTCAGAAAAACAATCTTATGATCCAGGCCTTGAAAAGTCTGAAAAGTTCAGCACTTAAAAAAAAGAAGTGATGCAACTTTTAATACTTGTTAAACTCCAGCTTAAAAGCTGAAGAAAATGTTCACATAACGCAAAATAGAAAGCCTCACCTGCTTGGTTTTAGCACCCGAAATTTATTTCCAGTTTATCCATTCACACTCCAAGGGCGACACAAGTTTATTCATTTTTTAACTGCTCTACTTCCTTTTTTGTGTTTGAAAGCATGGATTTTTATAGAGGTTCTAAGTGCCTGGGTCTCATTCACAAAAGCAAGCACTAATCCTCAAAAATACAAGACTGGACACGCGGAGTCTCACACAAAGCACAATACCCACGACCAGCTGCTCTCTGTTTAAAAACTTCTCAACTGTCCAAACAAGTCCCTCTGACGGGTAAACAAGGCAAATGAGGTGCTGGTAGATTGATTCCTTCCTTGGGTTTTGAAACTGATTCTATAATCACTCTTCTGGGGCTGCGGACCAACCCTTACGTCAAAACAAACAAAACACCTCATCTTAGTCCATCCTGCCTTCAGAAGTACTCAGAGTTGTGCTCTGTGGACTGTATCTGGGAACCAACCTGCATCAGAACGACCTTCTGGGTTTTGTTTCCAGGTTACCCTTACCCTGGCTCCTTTCCTCAGACCAATTCACTGTTTGGCAGCCACTCACACCAGCACGGAGAGAAGGCAGCGCTGCTGACTTCTGCCAGCTTTGCTGCTCAAGGAGCCACAGTGTTAAATGTCTGCTGGGACTAATTCTAGAAGGGACCGAATGCCACCGCTGCTATTCCGACTTGGGTTACTCTCCCCAGACCGATAGCAGACAGAGATGCAATTACAGCAACCAGGCTGTGGACACCTAAGACAGAAATCATATTGGCTTCGTGAAAGATTAAGCTCTTAACAACTGCTCACTGCACGTGTAGTTTGGACCCCCTCAAGTGACCCTACTAAGAGATTTTGAACCTTAGAAGTTGTTGAAGATGTTCCTCATACATCCCGGCAATTACAAGAATTAACAGCTCCCAAACTGTGATCTCAAAGGTATGGCTCGTGGAACTGGTTCTTCAGTTTATGGATTTCAGACAGAATGTGCCACGGTGGTTCACAAGAGATGCTGTGAATCAACAGCGGCCTCATTCTACCAGAAGCTCAGGAGCCCCCTTTTTGGGTCTGAATCAGGATTTACTAGTTTACTGAAAAATAAAAAGTCTGTAACATTATCACGAGAGATGAGGAACTGCACAGCTACGATGTGGTTACTGCTACTGCTCAGCACATCCTCTGCTCCCCCACGATCCCTCTTTGGCCATAAAGATAAAGCTGTGTTAACGTACTCAATAAAGTTTTTCTCTCCAGCTGCCACCTTCTTGTCTTTTGTTAATAATTTCCACACCTAAATCAAGTTTTCCTAAGCAGTAGAAGAGTCAGGCTAGCCTATCGGTTTCTCTGCTCCCTACAGAATGGGGGTGAAACGTGTCTGTGCAGTTAACCATTACTTATTACGGCCTGGGAAAAGCGACTTGTAGCAAGGGAAACACCTTAAGCGCCTATGTAGCAACTCAGCAAAACAGAATCAAGACTTATCAAAAGCTCTAAAACTTATCTCTTTATGCAAATATTTTCTTCCTCTCCGGTCTACCTACCAGTATCCCCTCTCAGCCAGGAAGTGCAACTAAATGCCAAGCAAGTTTCTGAAAGCTTTAAATAGACAACGAAATACCACGTTTCTAGCTTTAAACTGAATGTGAAGTTACAGCAGTTTTAAAAAATCTGCCTATGAATTAACATAAGCAGGCAGATTTCTTTCCTTTCTTCCTCAAACTAGAGGACACTGCAGCACTGTTAATGTCCTTATCGTAACTATGAAAAATCAAAAATCAGTTCCTGGGTAGCATGAACTACAAGGGCTTTGTTTGAGAAATCTGTGGCTCTCCTGGTCTTGCAAGCTTCCGAGCACGGGGCACTCCCTTTGATCACTACCTGCAGCGCTCACTACCTGCCATTTAACAACCAGCGTTAGTTTCCCTTGGGTTGAAAGGATTCACTGAAGCCCTTTCAGGGTGGGCATCACGAGCCTGCAGCTGCCACTTTCCGGAGAAAGGTGAGCAGAGCAGCCCCTCGCACTGCAAGCCACCGAGTCCAACAGGTACAGAAACCGACGTTCTAGAACTTTTCTAAAAAAACACAAAGTAGCACTTAACCGACTGTAGCGACTTCAGGAAGAGAAAGGCGATTTCCAGCTGCCTGTTAGGGCAGGGCCGAACCAACCCCCGTTCCCCTGGGGCTCGCCGCCCACTCCCCACCCGGAGCCCGAGCTGCGGGGGGTGCCGAGCCGCCCGGAGCCCCGGCACGCACCGATTTTGGAGGATTTCTCCCCAAAACCCAGGACAAGATCCGCGGGGCTGCCTCACCCCCCTGCCCACCCACAGCCCCCGGGGGCGACCCGAGGCGAGCCCGGCGGCCCCAGGGACCCCCCCCAAGGGGCAAACGAGGCCCGGCGGGGCTCAACCCGGCCGCCACCCCCCGTAGACCCCGCGTCGCCGGCGGCTCACCCCCAGATGACATAGTTGGTCTTGACGTTCTTGGGCCAGGAGAACTCGCCGAAGATCACCTCGTCGCCCTTCACCACGATCTCCTTCTTCTGCGTGTTGTACTGCCGCAGCACGCTCAGCACGTCCGCCATCTTCTGCCCGCCGCCACCACAGCCGCTGCCGCTGCCGGCCCCGCCGCCGCCGCCGTCCTCGTCGCCGCCGCCAGCCGCGAGAGGACCCCGCCGCCAGCCGCCAGGCCCTGGGCTGCCCGCGGAGAACGCCTGAGCAGCGCCGCCGCCCCGCCCCGCCTCGCCCCGCCTCGCCTCGCCCCGCCCCTGGGCGGCCGCAGCGGGCTGAGGGGGCCCCGCCTGGGGTCTGCCGCCCGCCGGTCAGAGCGGGGTGGGAGGGGAAAGGGAAGCCCTGTGGTGTGACCCCGGTATTATCAGGCGCTAAAAGCACTCGTCAGGCTTTAATTCCTGTCAGGATTTAGTTCTGCCGTTGAATTCCCGTCAGGATTTAATTCTGGCGCTGGGTTCTGAACCAGCACTCGGTTCTGACGCGAGCAGGCGGTTGGCACCCCAGGAGAATAAAGCGATCCCGGAAATATTTGGTGTCTCTGCCAAAAACACTTTCCTCACGCACCAGCTCCTCATCACCTGCACGGCCGGGTCTGTGCAGCGCAGAGGGGAGGGCTTCGTGGGGCTCTGTGGCACGAAGCCTCCCCTGTGAGCACGCCTCATCAGGCTTTTTGTCAGTCCAAATCCATGTTTTCCCCTAAAAGCACACATTTACTCTCTCCTCCGTCCAATTTAGTATCTTCTGCTCAGCCACAGCACTGGAAATGAGCAGCACCGCAGAGCCCACAGCACTGCTCCCCGCCAGGCAACACCAACACTGGGATATAGCATTCATGTACTGAGGAAGCAAAATCATCATGAATAAACAGAATTACATTCTGAATAAACAGAACGTAACTTCTCGGATTAGATTTACTGCAGCTGCAACCTATGAAAAATTGAAACGGAAATTGAAATTCTTCCATTTGTTCCAGTCCTGTTTCTGTTTCTCGTACAGAAACTACTTGGCATCACCTAAGCGGCTTTTAACTAGACTACAAATACTTTCTTTAGCAACATACAAAGTCATTACATTTCATGAAGTTGTGGTTGTTTTACCTTTTTACTTCAGTATTTCTTGGTTGAAAGTTTTAGATGGAAGTATGCAGAACTGTTCTCACACTTTGCTTTGGGGAACATACTAAGACTACCAATCGGTATTTATACCACATGGTATCAGATACCTGAGTGCTTATCAGGTTTTGCACAGAAGATGAAGCTAAAAAACCTTTACGTGAAAGGGGAAAACCTGTTAGGGCTTGGTACCACGACAGCACACTGCATGGGCACAGGTCCCAGCTGCGTTTGTTGACCACTTTAACGCAGCCGTGGTGCAGCAGGCTACACCCACGCTTTCTATACCATCAAAAGGTTTGACAACTTGAAGCCACAGGTAAATTCACCAAGATTACGCACACCAAGAAGGATCATTTGTGTCTTGTAGCACAGGAGCAAGATAAACACACGGGGTCTGAACAGGGTCAACCTGCTACCCATAAGGGAGCACCGGCAGCCCACACGGGTCGCTTTTACACGTGAACTGATTTCCTTGTGCTGTTTGTCACAGGACTGACGGCTGCACTTTTACACTTTCCATCCCCAGCACACGAGCAGGGGGCACCCGCGGCACCCCCAGCCCCACCCGGCACCTCCCCAGGGGCTCAGAGGCGGCCCCCGGGGCGCCACCCCCGCAGCAGGCAGCGCCGCGGGCAGCCCCGCGCTCGGCCGGGAGGCGGGGAGGGGGTGGAGGGGGGGGGGCCTCGAGCCGTGCCGGACCGCCGCGAGGACTGCAGGGCCCCGCCCCTTCCGGCTGGCCGCCATGTTGCTGCGGGGGGCGGCCGGGCTGCGGCGGGGGTGGGTGGGGACGGGACGGGACGGGGACAGGGGGGAGGGAAGGGGTCGGGGAAAAGGGAAATAAAAAGCGTTTGTCTGGAGAAAGCAGCTGCTTTCCGCGCTGTCTGTAAAGTCAGGGTTTATTTTGATCGTCCTGTGCGCTGTGCGAGCTCGTACAGCCCCCGGCGTTGCAGCTGATGTGAACCCAAGTGTGACGGGGAATCATGAGGGATATTGACAGCGCTGTGATGCTTTAAAAATAATAATTTGTGAGCTCTAAAAGGTGCCGTTTCTGTGTAAGCACGCCTGTCTGACTCGTGTTTCTGTTTAGTTTTAGGATGGGGAACAGCCAGCCCGTCTCTGTTGGGCTGTCCAGCAATGACGCTGCGAACCAAATACAGGTAACGAATTGTGTGTGCCTCATGTTATTTGTGTCTTACAGCATTATTTGTGTCTTTAACTGCTCACGTCTTCAGTTTTTCTACAAATCGTGGCTGCTTCAAAGCTTGTCTGAATTACACAAAAAAATTACATGACACGTTCTGCCTATCCAGCCCGCTTTTTAACAATTAATTGTAATTAATACCAAGTAATATGGGCAGCATTGTTCGTCCCTATTGCTGCCACCTGGTCTTTCTAGGCTGTATTCTTTGTACGTCTTTCTTCAGTCTTCAGCCTTCTAGTCTAATTCAGTACTGTCATCAGTATTGGGGATTAAAGTTAGCCAAATTACTGCTACTAAACATTTGTTACAGTAATAGCAGATTTATAATTTCCCCGTTTGATTTCATGGCTGTTGGATACTGTTAAAATACACTGATTTACAAACAAGGCTCACTTACTTGAGTGTTCTTGTAAATATACAGGATATTATTTCAGAGAACTGCGTGGTGATTTTCTCTAAAACAACGTGCTTCTACTGCGAAAAGGCAAAAAAGCTTTTTGAGCACATGAATGTAAATTACACAGCTGTAGAACTGGACTTGAATGAAAACGGAAACCAGATACAAGATGTTCTTGAACAGATGACTGGTGGCAGAACAGTGAGTATACTTCTTGCATGTAATAAGAAAAGTAAGAATTTAAACTATGTTTTCCGTGGGTTATGGACGTATCAAGGTCTGCAGTCTTCTGAGATGGGTAAACTTGTGATGCAAGCTTCTAAATGAAAAACAAGACACTGCAAAAGGGTTCTGTGTTTTTTCTTGAGACCTTCTGGCTGTCCCTCAGAGGTGATCTTTTTTCCATACTGCCACTAAGATGACTGAAGTATCAAAGTCAGTTTTCATTTCTACAGCTGTATTTATTGCATTGTGTTTAACACTTAGCATGTTTGCCATTCCTTAATTTTATATAGCCTCACTTGACTCAATTGTATGAATTTTCCCTATAGTGAATTCAAATCCACAATGTGGATTTGAATGTGAAGTAGCAAGTGAACAGTTTTCAATTTCTGTAAATATTATGGAAGCAGGAGTTGTACCATAATACTGAAACATTAATATGCATATTAAGAGACTAAATGGTGTGTGTGTGTATGTATACATACACATTCCACTCTTAGTGTAGGTGTGGGTGTGTAAGCTGACATAACAATACTTGAGTCCACAGGGCTTTGCTCTAGGTTTTTGTCTTTTTTTTGAAGTGACTGATGCAATATTCTTGTTCTTGATAGGTCCCAAGAGTGTTTGTTAATGGGACTTTTGTCGGAGGTGCTACAGATACTCAAAGACTTCACGAGGAAGGCAAGCTACTGCCATTGATTCATCAATGTCAGCTGAAAGGAAAATCCTGAACCACCATCTAGCCTAGCATAGTTCTGCCTTGATATAAAACAGGTACAAATTCAGACAAGTTAAAAAGATTACAAAGACACACTACATCAGCTGGGGGGTAACAGCTTCAAGCCAAGAATTTCTGAATCTCAGATCATTCTCTGACACAGACTCTATGGAACTGACAAATTACTTGGTTTCCTTGCCTCAGCTTTACCACAATCGTTATGAACCTCTTGGAACTCCAAGTGTATTCAAATGATGTCATTTTATTGGTGTTGCATTGGTGGTAGAGTTAAGGTTTTTGAAGTATCCTGTTTTTTGTTTTGTTTTCCTGCAAGTAAGGTGTCTTTCTAGTCTCATTCTACCACAGTTACAATACACGGTCAATGTAATGGCTTTGTTAAGTTTTAAATGTCAAATTGCAATCAAAGAAAGTACAAAGCATCACATTTGTAGTGATGTTGCTGCATGTCAAGTTTCTTACTGTTCATTTGTTACTTTTACACTACTTGTACTAGTTTAGTTTTTTTTGGCTGTCATTCTGTGTATTCCTAAACAGTGCTGAAACCACCTCTTTCTTGTGCAACTTTAATTGTAATTTTATTTACAAGCGAACTTAAATGTAAATCATGGGAATGTGTTATGCAAGGATGGCATGAGTGAGCATGCTTTGCGATATCAGTTGTTCTTTTAAATAAAGGAGTCTGGCAGTAGAGGAAGTAGGTCAGCTTCACTGTTCTCTCCTACAGTTGCTCTCAGTTGGAGCAGAGGATTGCAGGTAACCTGCAACTTTGGGGTCTTGCAAAGGGTCAGTCACTGTTTTAAAACCTGCTAGGCTGCCATTGTATGAGAGTATCTTAGGATCTTCTGGAGAGGCTTGAACTACACCAGTCTCCCACCCCTAGCCCCTGTCCTTTGGTTAAATTCTTTGGTCATATATGTTTGTGGAAGATTTGGGTAGTAGGTTGTTCTCCCTTGACAGTCACCAATAGGAGGGGATATCCACCTTTGTTTACCTCCCTCATACATGTATTTCATCATCTGATCTTGTAAGTACTTAATTATAAGTTCAGGTGCTATGGAAAAAGTGAAGAGAGATCCTTGCAGTTGTAGAGTGGTAGGTAAGCACTTTCGTCTTTACTCTCCACTATGTCAGTCCGGACGCTGTCATTCTGGAATATCCTGGTGTAGCCAGTGACACTAAACTCTACATCATCAATCCAGTGCTGTTATGAAACTCAAGACCAAGTAAAATGGGTCTAATATGCATAGAGTTTATTTAGTACTTAAGTTCTACAGTCAGAATGCAGTTTACTAGCAATATTAACTTGCAGTTAAATGTCTAAAAAACCCAAATTCAATAGTTTCAGTACAATGTACATCCAAAGCCAGAGCAGCCAATGCCAAGACTTGGTTATTTCAGGAAAGTTCATCATACGCGAGTAGAAAATTATATCCCTTTCCTCAATAAAAGGGACTATTACACTACTAAAGATGCACAGTTTAGGATAAAAACATTAAGTCCATTTTTATTCGCTTCTTGTGAATAAGATATCTGTTATTTCCATTGTTGCAGGCACTGCGTGCATGTAAACAACTTTCTTTCCACAAAGAAACAAAGTGCCACATCCACCTTCAGCTCGGATAATTGTGACTCTAAGGCTGTCCTTAGTGAATTTGACGACTTCCTTGTTGCAGTGCAGCTTTGAAACAAATTTAAGTAACAATTGGTAAAAGTTCAGTATAGAGTCCTCTGCACTGTGCATCTTTAATGTGTAATTAGCTAACTAAACACACTGACCTTGTTACATTATTATTGCAATTCACTACCTTTTGCTAGTTTCATCATTGCCTTAAGTTTTTTTTTTACAAAGACACACTCATTAAGTTAAAACACCATCAAATGTGCATCTCTCCCTAAATTTATACTTAATAAAGCAATTTAGTTTGCACATGTGCTGGTATCCAAGTGTTCTTTTTCCCTGTGTATAATTCTTAGGCCAGTTTTGTTTTCTTAGATTAACAATTTTGCACCTGAAAGCTTGTAAATCCATCATGTAAAAATAACAGTACGCAAAGGAATTTTTCAAAGACCTTACTTTTCATTTTGTTCCCTGATAGAAAAAGTCCCAAAACAGTAGTTTAAAATACCCCTTTGAGTTCTACGTTTCAGAAATCCCAGGGCAATGTCACTTAAGGCAATATTCCATTCCAATAGCTGAGAAAGCCTACTGCACGCCTGCAGAGCCTCATGAGTGCCAGTTTGTTATTTCTTTTCAGCTATATTAAGGCTCCCCATCCAAATGTTTCCTCATTCATTTTGTATCGTTTCATAGAAAGTAGCAGCAAGACAGTGCCTTCATTATTGGATGGCACAAAGCCATGTTATGTTTAAGTTATTTAAACATTACATGGCAGTTCAAGTGTGGTTCTACTCCAGGAACAAAAAAGGGCAGGGAGAGGCATTCAAAATAAAAAGCTCCATACTTTTTGCTTAGTAGTGTCTTCAGAAGAAAAGCTGTTTGTTTTAAAATAATGGTTGTTTTGGGATGTGAATGTTAAAAATTGTCTGTTAAAATATTCTGTAGTAGGGATTATACTTAAGCACTCATCCAGCTCAAATAACGTGCTCCTAAGAAGCATGAGTAGTTAAAAACAAACATCAAGTTATTTAACTAAGCAGACAGAGCTGTGAATGCATTCATCTGTTCATTCCTTATACGGAATTAGTTTGAGAGTAGAACTGCACTTTTATATGAGAATGTAACAGAATAGATATTTTATTGTAAATAGTTGTGCTTAACTAAAAAGCTGGTAACATTAGGAAAACAGCTATTTCCATTCATTATTTGTTAATGAAATATTTGTAAAAGTTCTGACTGTACCACATATATATATGCAAATATATTTATTTAAACTTAAATTGAGAATGCAGAAATACCTAAAGAAACCACATGTTACAGTATCAAAATCATAAATCCAAATGTAAGCACACATACTTAAAGACACCATACCTTATGCTGCAATTAGCTAATTTTAAGTCCTAGCTCTCAGAGCAGCACATACAAAATATAGTCCTACTGTTTTGTCTTTTCCCCCTAAGTCTTACTCAGCAACGTTGTACACTGTACTCTGACAGGGTATGATGAAATCTCTACCATTTCACCAATAAAGCCAGTAGAACAATTTACTTACAGCATATTTGTCCACTGTGAGCCACTGCAAATAGCTAAATAAACCCTATAAAGTGATGAAATGCTTAAAAAAAACAAGGAAGATTAAAAGCGCAAGCAAGACAAGTGATTTTTGCTGAGGTTTGCTTCTACATTCTAGTCTCCAAATATTTTCAATATTGCTAAAAAGCTGCCCACTCATATAGAAGATTCATTTAAATGTTTCCTTAATTCTGCTTGTAACAACTTGATAACATACGACAGAATGAAAAGCTCTGACCCACACAACAAACTCGAGAAAGAAGCTTTACATTTGAAAAGCCAATTTTAAATGGTTGTTTTATAGAAGTAAGCCATTTAGTTTCACAGGCAGATGTTGGATTTTTTAAAGAAACAAGGATGCGCTTTTGTAATTTATGCAACTTTTTTTTTAACCAAAAGCTGATAGACACAGCAAATTAAATATCTTATTCGAGATTTATATGATCAAAGAAGGTGAAAAAGTTGTCCCTTTTTAAGTTAAGATAAATACTATGACATCAGTGCTGGCGTAAGTTGTTTAGCTAAGCTAACATGCTTGATGACAGCAAAATGGCAGATTTAGAACAGTGGCAAAAAAGGAAAGGACAAGAGCTTGTGAGAAGAGGTTCAAGTATAGGTCTGGGTTCACAAGGTGATGGAAAAGGAGAAAAAAGCCAACATTAACAGAAAAAAAGGAAGAGCACAGAAAAAAAAAAAGGTAATAGAAGAATCAACATAAATGGAACCAATACTAATGCTTTTGGTATGGTGGCTACATGATTAAGCAGCACAGCATTTTGCAATGGAAAAAAATATTTTCCTAGTGTTTTTACAGAGTCATTAGTAAAATACATTTCCAAAACTGCTGGTGTACTTTTTAAGCCAAGAACATACGCTTCATTGAATAGCCTTTGAAAGCCATACCCATAAATGGGTATTAGTGGGCCCCAATTTAAAAGCAACAACAACAAAAAAGAACAAATGTCCTGTCCCCACAATGATTTATGTTTCACAAACAGGTTTAACAGTGATTTAAAGCAGCAAGGTACTTTATGGCCAGTTATTAGAGGCTTTTATGTACTGGGCAGTTAGACTGGCACTGCTAACTTCGGACCTAGACCTACTTTGAGACTTCTCTTTATTAAACACACAACTGTGGCACCAAGTTCTACCAGTAAGGAAGTTCTACAAGCATCCCAAACTCTCCCTTTCCTTGCTATAGGTCTAAAAATCCTGGCACAAAAGTCTAATTCTTGGCAAAATTATTACTGTCTTTATTCAACACACAATACCGATGCATAATTTTAAAGAAATCTTGAGCAGCACGTGCCCACATTCTTGTCTCTATCTCTGCTACGTGGAAACATGACCTCTGATGTCCACTGGTTACAGCCCTTCATTATAGAAGAACATTTTACCTCTGCTGTGCTTCCAACCATTACATCCTTTTCTTCTTTCTTTATGCTAAAGTGCCTGAACATTACAGTCTTAGACAATAATCTAACACTTAAGAATTTTATTAGGGGCTCACAGTGAAATGACAGTCAAACTGAAAGCCTGTTAATTCTGACAAATAACAAGAAACCTGCATTCACCTAGTCTACACCTGCACTCTGCATTTAGATTTTTTTTGCTTTTTTTTTTTTAACATTTTGAATAAATTTCACTATCTTTAAAATCCTTCCTGTCCTATTTTCACTACTAAACTGTAGTGCACAATTATAACCCCATTTTTGTTTTGTTAGTCAGTGTTCCTCCAATGCAAACAACACTAACTTGAAAAAGTCATGTCCACTCTCTAGTGAAAGGGTTTATTTATTGTATACTGAACTAAAGCTGAGAAACTGTGTCTTAGCTATTTTTTTTTCCTTTAAAAAAAAATTACAGTAATTGTTGCCTCTTCACATGTCCAGGTATCGTTCTGGAAATTATTTGTTTAATAACTAAAGACTAAAATCAGGAGAAATTTGTTACAGCAAATGAGTCAGATAGTTCCCCTAAAATTCAGCATATGGACAGAAAAGAAAGATCAGTCTATGGAAAAAGAAAACGCAGGATCAGTCTTCTTTGCCCCTTACTGTATGATAATAACCAACTCCAGACAAAAAATAGGAGGAACAAGGGCCAACATACTGCCAAATTTCATCTGTCAGCATTTACTTCAATTTCCCCTCTCTCTGGAAACTTTAAAGGAGGAGCAGATGACAACATGATCTCAACAGTGCTAGCTTTACACTGGAAAACCAGCATCTACAATAATCTAACAAGATATTTTGGTACAGAGATATGGTAAATATTTAGGGGCAAATTATGTACTCCAGCATGGGTGACTATCTTTAACATAGCACATAGCTATCTAGTGTCAACATTTTCTCTAAGTTCTACTGAAAAATTCACCTTCACTTTTACTGTAGTTCAAGGAATTTTATTTTAAACCAGACTGCTTTCAAAGATGCATCGCTACAATAACTGTTCAATCAATCTGTTAATAACTAGTCTAATATTTATTTGCAGTAAATTTATGCAATTGACTGCAAAAAGTTACTTGAAATACCAGTTTAGGTTTCTCATTTCATATTTCGTCCAAAATATTTCCTATTACTTCACAAATACTACTTCAAAAAAGAAAAAGTACCTGCAAAAGATACTTATCTGTCAGTTATTTTCAACATCGCTAGCTTAATAGGAAACATCTATTCAGGTGTTTGACTATTGCCTCATTTAAAACACATTACTACCAAAAACAACTCCAAAACATCAGTGCATTTACTTTAAATAATTTACATGTAGTGAGCAAGTGCATTTACGCCCCAAATTCCTTGTGTTCATTTTGCAAGGAGACTACACTTGGTAAGAAGTTTTTCAAAGGAAATGGCTAATTTTCAAACTCAAAGTGCTATTTTATCAGTTTCTGCAGGGACACTTGTTTTTTTCTGGATGTCACCTGACAAGCTGGTGGTAGTCCTGTGTTCAAGCATTCTATCAGAGCTGTACTGTAATAGCAGGGATAATGCAAAAGTAACTACATTCATGTCCACTGAAAACTAACATTCTTACCATCAGCTCTTTAAGCCACAGATTTAAAACAACTCTCGAGTTGTTCCTACACATCAGTGTCAGAAAAGCCTTCCTTCACTGTTCTGATTTATTCATTAAGGTAGTGTGTAAGTGTGTAGCAGAATACCTTCAGTAACATGTAATCTCACATTTTAGATAGCACCAAAATAGATAACCATCCTACAGAATGCAAGCTTTGAACTTTGAGTCAATATGTAGGAGGCATAATGAAAAGTGTTACAAGTATCAAAAGTATAATATGAACTTGAATTTTACATTTAAAAGCTTGTCTTTTAGGCAGAAAAATATGGTCTTACATGTCATTTACCACAATCGGGTAATCTTTATAAACCATAATTATTTTCAAATTAACACCAAATTCACTGTTTAAAACAGCCAGAATTAGCATAAAAGAGGCTGACATACACATCTTGGGGAAGTTGTAAAAGCATCTCTGAAAAAAAGCTCTCAGCTTTTAAGACTGATCTGTGAAAGAGATCTTTTAACTTCCCCCCTGTACACACATACCTAAATACACACACACACACAGATTTAAATACATATACACATGAATTGCTATTGGTTCCTGTTCCAAAGTGGTAAGATATTCACTAGCTTTCTCCATATTTACTCACACTCTTACTATCAGACTAAAAAAAAAAAAAATCCAGTTTCAATCACTTCCTAAACAAGATTTTGAGAACGAGGCAACTGTACACTTCATAAAAGTTTTTAAGAATTGGTCACTATAAACTGGAGGTAGTTTGGAAAAATGTTAGATTGAATTAATTTAAGAAATCAGAAATAATGTTAATCTACAAAAAGATTTTTTTTAAACGAAGTATTCTCATTAGGAAGATTTTTGTATCATCCAATACGTTCCTTTGAAGAAAACGTAGCCGTTTGTTTCTGGTTGTTGCTACTCAGCTTTCAAGAGTAGGCTAAGACACATGCACTTGCTGATCTTCCTCACTGAAAGTGAGCTGATGCTAACTGAGGTTACAACATGTACTGAATGGGGCTTCCTAGCCATTTCTAAGACCTTTCGCTACTAAAAGGTTTGTTGAATATTCACCAAAGCACATGAAATCTAAAATAGTGCTTTTGAAACTGCATTGTACAGAAACTACCCCTCTCTCTAGAAAGAGTTACTTTATCCTCAAAAATCCAAATAATCTAAATAAAAGATGAGCATGAGCTCTTCCACTTTCAGTTTTGTCAGTATAAAATCTCACTGGGTAACTTTTATACTGCATCACAGTTACATGGTCTCACATGTGCCAGAAAACACTTCTTTTGTAGATCTGAAGTATAATTATGAAAACTGTTGAACCTTAGTTATTTGTTTAGAAAAAAAAAAAAGGCCTAAAGAAAGATCCCTCTAAACTAATGTTAGTTGTTAAACTAACATTATTAAAAAGCTAAAACCACTTTTCTGTCCTGCCCATCTTAGGAATAATTCATCAATTCACTCTTGCAAACAAGCATTCCACAGCAACAGGGGAAAAAGAAATCTCAGTATTTTTAAGCTATTATAAATGAAATTAAATTACATGTTGTGTAACCCTGTAGCTACATTTAACAAACTTCCCATTGTTATTTCAAATTGTGTGCAATAGGAGAAAAGAGAAAAGCGGTGTCTCATCTGCTTTTCTTGTTTTCCCTTCGCAAAACGGATATGCTCTGATATGTATATAATGTGCCATTTTCTAATAAAGTATATTTGGCTGGGAGTTCCCAAGGTGAAAAGTCTGTTGCCAGCAGTGGACCCATTGGGAAGAGCAGATACCTAGAATGCTAAATCAAATCCAAAATGAAGTTCTGAATAACATCCAAAGCTCCTGTATCAAAGCCACATATATCCAACATGCCTCTGTCATCTGGATCGGCAATCGTAAAGCTGTTTGACGTCATCCCGCATACGATCAATTTAGCAGGAATACCCATTTTCTAGAGGAAGAACAGAAAATATTTTCAGAAACACACACATATACAGTAAATGAAACATGACAGAGGCCAAATCTTGCTATCTGGCATACATAAACCACTGTCTGAAAAGGCATACTGATAAAACCTAGGTATGCCAGTAACAAGAATTGCAGGCTGCCTGTTAACACCATACTTAAGTTGCAGTAAAACAGTTATATTTAAATAAATACAAATAAACTACAATGAATGCTATTGGCAAAACTTCCCTGTAATATTAAGATTTATAGATTTCAAATGTAAACACTGCATTTGCTATTCTGAAGATCATTCTGAGAGAAAACTTTCAATAATAATAATCAAATCATCTAACATGAATCAAGGAGCGTGTTTTTGTCTCAGGCAAAGAGTCCAAGTGTTGGTTGAACAAATAAAGCAGCTCTGACCTGGACAACTCAGCTAAATGAGCTGATTTACATGTCCGTCATGTGTAAGTTAAAACAAAGCAAGTGATATTAAGGCCAGAGTACAAAAATTCTTTGTTAAAAGCAAAAAATTAGGAGTGGGAGGAGACTAATCTCAACTAAATAATTCTGTGGTAAGGTTTCACTGGGCAAGTTAAAGATTATGGTATTAATTTCAAATGGGTGGACATGGTATGAAGATCAATGTCCATACAGACTTGTCTTTGCAGTTTAAAATATATTAATTTAGAAATAGTTCCCTTTAAACCTAAAAACTTGTTTGCTGTTCAAATAATTTTTAATAGCAGTGTGCTGGTAGGAAGTGTTTTTCTTAGTTCTGTTTCAAAATTGCAAAGCTCCACAGCATACATAGCCACTTTAAAACATATAGGGCTTTCTTCACATGGTACCTATCACCTTATCCTCTTGAGTGTTTCCCTACAGACTTGTCTTCATTACTTTGTTTAATGTTTGTGAGATCTAATACAGAGATCGAAGTTGAATTTAATTCTGGGAGCACAGTACCATTATTTAAGAGCTTCCTGTAAAAAAATTATTTCATCAATTATAAAATTCAGAATCAATTATAGAATTATAGAATGTAGAAATTCATGCACTCTCTCAATACCAAACAAATTTTCACTGATATTGCAAGTACAGCTAGCAAAGTAGGTTAATTACAAATCCTTTTTTTCAATTCAATGGTTTTGAATGTGAGCAATTACTTCCACTAATTCAGTCTAAGCATAGAATTTATGTTTTTAACAATATCAAGATTATTATTTACGGCAGATAGCAACAACTTGTTTAATCTGTAAAACACGTAGAGAACTAGTGTTTATTCTATATTGCATTCATCAATTGCAAGCACTCAGAAGCATATTTACCTCCCTGTATTCTCTAAGAGCTGTTGCAGGATGAGTATTTCCAGCAAATGTCTCATTATCAGTAAATACAATGAAGACATCAGCAGCTGTCTGTGTTTTCTGAGCCCATATCATTGGAAGGGAACAATCAGTTGTACCCATTGGAATCTTAAAAGGAAAAAAATATATATATATACATGGAACACGTTACTACAGAAATTAGTAACTCATGGAAAATTACTTTTTATGTGAGCCTCGTGGTATATCACGTACAGAATTGTCTTTGTTAAACAACAAAACAACAGTTCACTCATTCATTTCACTTAAATAAATAAAATAATGACATAACTGAAGTTATTGTTTTCAAATTAAGCCATTGTGATCTAGCAATGCCATTCTAAATTACTTTATTTAATATTCAGGCAGTTGAAATAATGACATTTGCTGGACTTCCCCTAAATAAAAGGGAGAAAAAAAAATACACAGCATTCTACTATACAGATACAGACTAATCACAGTACTAGAAGAAAAAAAAAAAAGCAATGCATTTTTTTCAATTATTTTTACATACTTCATACATTTTCACTAAAACTTGAGGTAACGTCATATCAGCTGTCACAGGGCAAGGGACAATTTCATGTGAAAAGGCAACGATATGGGAATCCTTCTCAGTACGTGCTACAACCTGAGAAAGAGGAAGAGGAAAAATAAAAATGTTATTTAGAACTTTTCCTGACTGAATCGAGGCATTCCCTGCTGAAGAGGCATCATACCCTTTTGTATGTAAGTCAGCGTGGCTCATTATATACGCTAAAGCTTCACTCTATACTTTAAATACTCTGTAATACTACTGTGAATAGACAGTGCAAAATCAGAGCTGCAGAAATGTTCTAATTACTGTAACTAAAAATCCTTTCCTATTTCTTCTCTCCCCTCTTTGACATAAAACACTAAACATTTTTCAATGCAAACAAGTTCCACTCTAATATAAACGCACAAGAAGCTTTAGAATATCAAACTGAGGTAAAAGCAATTGTGATACAAAGTCAGTGTTGATAGCTCAAATTATCCCAAAATTTCTCAATTCAATCTGTATTAAATTGTCAATGCTTCTGTTTTTTTGGTTTTTTTTTGTTTGTTTGTTTCTTTCTTTTTTTCTCCCCAATGTATTTTCAGTTTCAATAGGTGAAAAAGCAGCCTCAACCACTTTGATTAAAACTGGAAACCAGCTTTTTTAAAGTGAGCTTTCTGAATCTGGCTGTTTTAAGCATCTGGTCCGTAAAGCCACACCTTCGGTAACAAAAATAATAACAAAAAAATATATATATCAACTTCCTTCTGGTTTCTAACCAGCTTTAGAGTACGTTTGTATCAAAAGTGAAGCTCAAGCTGCAAATAGCTACAAATAAAAGAAGTTTAACGCCTCACCATGCACATCACCGCTGCAACCGTGCTAGCATTCAGCACACTGCCCAACACTTTTTGGGTCATTGATGCACTGACATCGACTGCAAGTAAGAAACGTTTCCCTGTTGGATCAATTGTCTAAAAGAAAAAGAAAAAAGTTAAGAAAATACCTACATAATATATTGATTTCTTTCTTTTTCTGCTTTCAATCATAGAAGTGTGGTGTGTGTTTTTTTTAAAAAATGTTTTTGGGGCAACATTAGGACTATAACATTGCCAAAAGTTGAATATATGACAGCTTTTGTTTTTATTTTTGTTTTTGTCCTCTGTTTAATAAAATCCCCATTACTAAGATTTTTATTACAAGGTTCCCAAAATATTATCCACCCAACAAATTTTTCTATATTATTTTATAAGCTTTCAGAAAAAAAAGAGACTTCTCAAAGAGCTTAGTGAATTCAAGAACTTTATTACCTTGAAAGTTTTGTAGAACGAAGCATCTAAAGCTTCTAAAATGTCTTCATCAGGACGCCACCAAAGCTTCCCTCTGTTTCCATGTCCAGCTTTATAGGTTTCTAATGCAACCAATATATGGAATGGATGTATTCTACCCTACAGACAAAATAAATCAACAGTAAGTTTTACAAAGTATGAACTCAAACAAACAAATAAACGAACAAAAAAGGCAACACAAACTAAAAAGATCCTACTGCAAGATCTATTTACTTCAATTTGTTCAAAAGGTTTGTGCAGTCTTTTTTAAAGCTGTAGCATGAACTTATAGCTGTCAGTTACAGGTAAAGTAGCTTCTTTATCATCATCCAATGATGAACCTCATTCCTGCTCCAGAATCTTGTAATGAATACTATTGGAACCCTCTTTTCCCTCTTACTGCATTACCTCTGAAAAAAATAAAGCACTCTGAAAGGAGACAGTCTCCTTGTTTTGTCACTTCTTCTCTCAGCTGCTGTGCTAGTTTCTTCATTCATTTCCTAGGATCCTAGAAGAGTGGCTTCCACTCACTTTTTAGGATTGTGTTTGCTCATTGTAAATTACAACACTCAGGAGCAATGGATGAACCCAACAAGCGAAGCTTGCCTCGACCTTAAATTAAGAAAAGAACCTAGCCGTCAATATACTTCATTTGTAAAGAAGTTTTGGAAATAGGGGCAAAAAAAAAATCAAATGAGAAATTAAAGTTTTATTATCAAGGTGCAGTAATTCCACTATTGTTGTGTGGGTTTTCTGTTGTTGTTTGGGTGTTTTTTAAGAATAAGCTACACATTTCTTAAAAATAATCTCTCTTTTATTCTGTAAAGAGGTTGCCTGAAGAAATGCAAGTTAGAAGGGGTTAAAAGTGAAAATCATGAGAAATTTCTTACCTTTTTTAGTAATTTCTCATTTCTTAGTCTTTCACATATTATTGCCACTTCTGAGCTTCTTGGTTCAAGCACTGAATTTGCTGTCATCTTTCCTAAATTTCTCAATAATACAGAAATGGGCATGTCCTTCAGCAATGCCTTCCAAACCTATGATCAAAGAAGGAGAAGAAAAAAAAGATGAGATTCCCAAGTACAAAAACTGACATCTGCACATTAAATAACTGTATTTTAAAATAAACGTTCAAGTTATAAAATAAATGAAAGAGATATTTATTACTTTTAAATTAGCCACTTGTGTAAATAAACTTGAAAAAAATAAACCATAAGGGCTTTTTTAATGGAAATCAAGACGTAATACTCTAAGAAGTGTTAACTCTAAAGAGAATACAAAGCTCCTGAAGTTTACCAACCTCTTTAGATTTCAGATGGTTTGTCAGTAGATGTTCTCTAACCAGACCATATTCCTCTATTAAATGAGTAACTTCCAATTCATCTTTTGTGTGTTTCACCCTGTCCACAGCCTCCAGATACTTTAGAAGTTTTTCAGTCTCAGCAGAAACTGCTTTGTCTTTATAAGCTTCTTGGACATCTTTCCACCCTTTGGTAATGTATTTAGTGACTATAGCAATTCCTATAGAAAAATATTTTCCAGTCAGGATTACCTTCTTCATATTGGCATTTATCTTTCTGGCAAGCAAACAAGTTAGAGCATTTTTTTGTTAAAAACAACCACCACCACCATAAATGGAATTTCCCAGACCTGCTGACCAGCTAAAAGAGGTCATCCCCATACAAGTTAGAACAGCTGTTTTATTCTCTTCATAAGCCAGGAGCCTAATTCATTCCAAACCAACAGATCTTCCCAAATGATGAAAAAAGGTTATTTCATCATTTGTAAGCTAGATAGCAACAAATCGAGGGAATTGTATTATTTTACCTTTTCTTGACATGCACAGAGAAAAACAAGAAATAAACCCTGTTTACCTCTGAAGATAAACAGTTACATTTCTGATGTGATCACTCAGTTCCAGGATATGATCACCAATATGTCATCATTCTACACTGGTACCAGTGCTTCCAAAATAGTTCCACAATAAATATAAGAGGCTTAAAACATAGTATTTCTAGGGAAATTAAAAGCATATTACCTTCACTGGCAGGTTTTAGGTGGGACAATCTCAGGAGATCTTTATGAGACCAACCACTTCTTTGTTTATATTTTGTAACTGCTAAAGCAACAGCCATGCCATTCTTTCCATTGTACCAATCTGCAACAGCTTTCCTCAGTGCACGGCCCCACATGCCACATTTCATGCCCTCCTTCAGATCTTTTTTAAATTGGATGAAAGTAAAGAGATGAGTTGGTATGCAACACACCTCAGGAACAGCTTTAAACGCAGCTTGTTTTGTTTTTGCATCAGAACACTGCGAACAGATTGCAAGAGCAAAAAGCAGGGGCTCCTGTTTTGTTGTTCTGCCTTCTTGACTGAATGTCTTTATTTCTTGAACAACTTCACAACCTCTACCCTCTTCAATTAGCCTTGTTAAAGCTTCTGCATTTTCAAAGCACAGCTTCTGCTCCTTGGTGCAGTAAGTACCACCTTCTGAACCAAAACACAAGAAACGATGCAGTCGATTCATATCGGTGACGTGCCACACATAACCGCTCTCAGAGTTCGGCACCTGCTTTTCATTCAGGGATTGCACTTGGTTTGCCTCGTCCTCCATTGTTTACACTTCCAAACGTCTGTTGAAAGATTAATAAAAAGCTTATTTAAAAGTACTGTGAGAACTTGATAACTATATCTTGTTATTGCTTCTTATCTAAGTGTATGGGTCATAATCATAGATTTGTAATTTTTCCTTCGTAAACCTATTAAGAGTCTGCTCTCAAGTGTGCAGTAACAAATAACAGGTACAGAAAAAAAAAAGAAAGAAAGAAAAAAAAAAAAGAATCTCTGAGTTATAATGGTGATAAATTTGTTTCCTTAAAACCAAGCTAGAAGCTACTTTACCACAATCAGTGGTGTATAGAAAACATGGCTGGCACCATTCCGCTTTGCCACTAGTTTCCTTGGTAGGTTTTTGGATTGTATACTGCAATTTGGTTAAAACTCAGATCTTGTCCCACTCTATTTTGCAGAAGGGCTGGTCATACTGACCAACCGAAGAAACGTGATACTAAAATAAAGAAGTAAAAATTACTGCAAAATTAGGTAGTCAGAAGACTTTGTGAGAGTTTAAATATGGTGGGCTTCAGTGAGGCTTTTACAACTGCTTTTTAGCAACTGGCAGTAGCTCAAGAAAAAAAATCTCTTTATTACAGGCTCAGTCTGCTGTTTCAAGTGAGATCCAAGACATGGACATATTAGCAAGTCTTGTACTGTTTTACATTTTCAGCTAAAAAGCAAGGGAACGCCATGAAAATCCAGAGTCTGAGCCTTTCAGGTTTTTTTATTTATAAACTCTTGAGTTGCAAAAGAGTTCTGCAGCAGTAACTGTAGGCAACAACACTGTTCTTGCTCAAACAACATTTAGCACGATACTATTTAACCTGTAATACACAAACTGAAATAAATGCAGGTGAATCGAATCAGCAGGGTTACAGGAAGAAAATCCATCATCACAGAATGTTTTTTGGGGGGAGGGACCTTAAAGGTAATCTAATTCCAACCCCCACTATCATCACTAGCCCCAAAACATCAACATGACAACAAAAAATTCAGTTTCCTCAGTAAAGAGACTCTAAATAGCTTAAAGAGGTACCAACTTACACACACACACAAACACACAGTACCAATATTGCAATCCATCAAACTCTATGTAGATCTTAAAATATGCACATACAAATGACATTTCAAAGAAATCCACTTGGCAATTTTTAATTATTGCAGATACCTTCCTCTGATGTGGTTTTTTGGATATCGAAGATAAACACCATTGACCACGATAAGCTAGCGCAAATAAATATCACTAATGCAGACAAAGACTTCTTCCCCAGTGTAGGGGAGTAACATACTTATTTACAAACAACTTCTGTACTTCCTCTTTGACACCAAATTTTCCTTTCTTTGCACGAGACTACAGACTGCCTTCCTCCATTCTTGCCCACGTGCAATGATGTGCTGTCTGCATCCAGAATTTAAAATAATAATAATAATAATAAAAATAAAAACAAACAAAATGAACAATCACCAGTGGTCCCATTATGTTCTACATGCTGCTAAAATAATAAAAAATAAATAGAAGCCAAATGCTGGTACCAGATTTTAAAAAGCAATTAAAAATTAACTAAAAAACATCTTTAACTATATTATTCAGAGCATTGGAGCTCAGCTGTTTTTCTCATTACTTAATATTACTTAAATATTCTAACCAGGTTTCCTGCCAAAGCCATTTAAATACATCATAGTTCATCCGACTTTTTCACTGACATCTGAAGGATGCAAATACACTGAAAATAACAAGAGTGGTATTTGCAATGCATGAGTACCATATCAGTTTGTTTTAAATGTCTTAAACACATTAAACAAATAAACACTTAAACACTTAAACAAATGTCTTTTTTCAGTACATTTCAATTAGTTGGTTTCATTACGCAGTAGGTAATGTTTCATAATAAATGTAGAAAATCCAAACAAAAATCCAGAAATCAGAAATGCATTTGTGTATTTTTCAGGGAAAAAAGCCAACCAACCAAAAAAAAAAACACCTGAGTGTGTGAGAAGATATTGAAAAACACCATTATCTTGAAGTATAAGTAAGAACTGTAATGCATAAAGGATCATGCCTGAGCAGGTAGATCTCCATATATATGAAACGTACAGAATAATTGCTTGTTGTGTCTTTCTCGTCTGTACCATAACAAACATTACTGCACTGTAACAAAGCTAATGGGAAAACTATTTTCACCCACCTATGGGCTACCAAGACTTAAACTGAACTGGAAGAGCCATGCCTTCGGTGAATCAAAACATTTATGATCTCACTGATTGTTATGTATGTCCCTGAGGATTATATTAAGAAATATGTGCATTTCTTTTAATATTTTTGTATTTTTCCCTATATTTTTCTATTTGCATGGGTCCCATCCGATACATCCACTCGCTGTCTCACTTGGACTACACACAATTATGATGTCCTCACATGCTTTGTCTTCTAGTCACCATCACACATTAGCTATCATTATCATCACCACCCTGAGAACGGGAACAAAACCTAAATGAAAGAATTTTAACATTTCTAAAATTACTGTTAATAGTTATCTGATTTGAAATTTTGTTGTTGTTGCTGTTTATGAAGTATTATAATGCAAGATCAGTATTTCCATCCTCCTGAAAAGCAACATTCCTTTAAGTGGGAACATGCTGTCATGTTAAAATTTTATTGTACTAAATAAATTTAGAGCAAACCAGCAGGTAAGAAAATTCTCCTGGTGCACTTCTGTGTTACATAACAAATACCATTCATTTATGTTACTAATGGACAATTTTTATGTTCACTCAAACTGCTAGGCTTCTGTATGGACTCATAGTGCTGAAAAGTGACAGGTGAACCGCAGCACCTATTGGCTTCTGACACAAACATCCCTATTTTAAAAAGCCAGTTACCAATACACACTTCTAGTTTTTCTGACACTTAGCTCTTTAATTGGCTTTCTTAGGAATATTCATAGAGCTATAAAAACAGATACTGTTTTACACTCTTATGATTTCCACCTTCGTTTTCATTCAGCCTTCTAAGTCGTCTTGTTGGATGGCACATAGTACTTCACAATGGAATGAATTACCTGCAGTGTTTCTCCCAATAATAACTCTTACAAGTCTTCTGAAACATTTTCTAATTTTCTAGATGAATAGCAGCCAAATAATAAAATTATTAATGCTTTCCAATTAGCATGCTTCCAATTACCTGTATCTAGGATACAAAACAGACATTTCTCAAATGGTTCATTGCTGCCTCACGGACTGAGAGAGGTTCAAATCAACACCATGTTCTGGGTCCTAATACAAAGTATAAATTCCTTAACACCCTTATTCAGTGTTGAACTAATTAAATCATGTTGGCCACTTCTAGATTCTGTTTTATATTTCAGCCTTACAAGTTCCCAAAGGTGTTCCATCTTACTAACTAGTCTCTCTCCTCTGCCGGGTCTTCAAGGTTATTTTCCTCCTTTAACACCTGTAAATGCACACAGCTTTCACTCCCACAGCTGGATAAATGCAAGTACACAGTGAGAGTCTGCCCTACCAAAACCCTACTCCTCATCTACTGAGCTACAACAGTGAACTTGAATTTTGAGTACTCGTGGAGGATTCAGCAGGAATATTCTGCTTCCATAACCATGTCCAACTTTCTGAGCTGTTTGAATGCAGACAGCAGTGTGAAAAGTCTTAAAGTGTCTACTCTGCACCTTTTATAACAAATTAAATTATTAATGGAAGAATAATGATATGAACCTGCCCAGCTTGACAATGCCCAGTTCCCACCAATGGGAGAAAGATCATAGCTGCATATCAACGATTCAAGCTAAAATGTTGAAGTTAAATTATTGTGGTTTTGTCTTGGTAAAGCATTAATTAATCAATTTTATATGTATCTTTTAGACATTTGTAAGCATAGATTCTCCATGCAGATGAATTTTATCAAATGTAAACCATAATCCACCAGACTGTTTTCCACAGGGAAGGAGTTTTTATATATTCTAAACATAATATAAATAAATCTGTAAGTAAAATATGGGTTTGCCTGGCACTAAACAGCCTATCCAATGGTTAAGCCTTGACTGACAGTCAATACCCATGTGTCACTGTACCATAACACGGCCGAGTTAGCATCAGTCACGTTTTCTGCGACTACTCCAAATCACTCCTGGTTTTCTTAAGGGATGCCTTACAGCACAAGCTCCAGGTACATACGAAAAAAATATATACTTTAAGCAGAAAGCTTTAACAGAAACACGGTCTTTAAGTTCTTAAACTGCTAGGTTAGCAGCGATGCAGTGAAAGCACACAGAGTTAGACTTGGGCTAAGCTGGATGTTTGTGGGGGCAAAAAAAAAAAAAAAATCGTGCTGAAAGTTTAAAGACAATACTTCAAATCGCCCTCAAATTCTTCAAAACCATATAGGCTTTGTCCTGGGAGAAACCGCGCTCGCCCACTCCGCTCTGGCTAGGCTGAAACCAGCCCGAAACCGAGGATGGAGAAGGAGCTGAGGGCTGTGCCTGGGAGGCCAGCCCCGAGCAGGCACCTGAACGGCCCCCAGCCCCCACAGCCCCCCAGTAACCCCCTGATTCCCCCAAAAAAAACCTGATTCCCCCCAAAACCCCCTGATTCCCCCAATAGCCCCCTAATTCCCCCAATAACCCCCTGATTGCCCCCAAAACCCCCTGATACCCTCAATAACCCCCTGATCCCCCCAATAACCCCCTCAGCCCTCCCACAGGCCCCCTTAGTCCCCCTCCGACCCCCTCAGCGCCCCCCATCCCCTCCCTACCCCCCCTCACCCCCGCCCCTCAGCCCCCCACTTGCCTCCGATGCCTCAGGGCAGAGCCCGCCCGGCTCCCGGCTGGGGCAGGCGGGGCAGCAGCTCCCGCGGCCGCTCCCCGGCTCCCCCCGGCCGTCTTCCAGCAGCTCCGCCCGGCGGCGCCCTGACAGCATCCCCGGGCCCCGGATGGGGCCGCCCCCAGTGCCCGGATGGAGGCGGGAGCGCCCCCGGCCCCGTCCCATCCCCGTCCCCGTCCCCGCCCCGGAGCTGGGCTGCGGGGGCTGCCGGGAAGGGAGCGCCGCGCTGCGCCTCGGCCTTGCCGCGGAGCCGGTGCCGCTGCTGGCGGCCCTCGCGCGCTCGCTCCGTCCCCTCAGGGCTCCGAGCAGCCGCCGCCATGTCGGGAGGCAGCAGCGCCGGGGAGTGGTGCCTGATGGAGAGCGACCCCGGCGTCTTCACCGAGCTCATCAAGGGCTTCGGTGAGGGAAAGAGGGAGGGAAGGCGGGAAGGGGGCAGCGGGACGGCCTCTGAGGGGGGCCAGCCCCGGCCCTTCGGGCTCGGAGCCTCCCGGCGGAGGAGCAGAGGGCAGGGGAGAGGTGAAAGGGGGACGTGGGGGTGGGCAGCCTTTTGGGGCTGCTTCTGCTCCTCAGAGGTGAAATTTTAATAGACGCGCGTTTTATAGCTCTGGCAGCACAGGGGGTGTGTGGTGGTGTCGGCGGGGCAGTCTGTGGGGGGTTTGGTGATAGAAGCAAAATGATTTTGCCCATTAATTTATATTCCTGTCGTATCTCGTTTATTTTTTTCCTCACGAAGTCTAGTCCACTTTGCTTGTGTTTCTGTTTAACTAATAGATCAATCTTCCCTTTTTTAATCGTTATGCGCCTTTTAAGTGCAGCGCCTGAGAAAACCTCTCTTTCCTTATTCAGGTTGTAGAGGAGCACAAGTTGAAGAAATTTGGAGCTTGGAGCCAGAAAATTTTGAAAAACTGAAGTAAGGAGCTTTCTTTTCTGACATGCAGATTTTCTAAGTTTATGCTCGTGTGAACTCTCCAAAAGAAATGTACTGAACTCAGGAAGGTGGCTTTTTTTTTCTTTTTTTTTTTCCTAATTTCCCCAGAAGTTAATTAGGATCTTGATTTATGGAATCATTAAGGTTGGAAAAGACCTCGACCTCCAAGATCATCTGGTCCTACAGTCCCTCTACCACCAATATTCCCACTAAACCACGTCCCTAAGCACCAGGTCCAACCTTTCCTTAAACCCCCTCAGAGACAGTGACTCCGCCACCTCCCTGGGCACCCCGTCCCAACGCCTAACTGTGCTTCCTGAGGAGAAATGTCTCCTCCTTCCCAACCTGAACCTCCCCTGGTGCAACTTGAGGCCATTCCCTCTAGTCCTAATTTAATCAAGTACTTGGTAATTAAATGACCTTTTATTAATGCACTGGTATGTAAGATGGCTTTTCTGTTTATGGGAAGAGATGATGATAGCAACTAGAACGTGAAAAACTGCTGGTGACTTTGTCATTGGCTTGAATTACATCCTTTCACAAATTGCTTAACTTTTGGTCATTGCTTTTTTAAAACGTACCTCTCTTCTTCCCTGCATAACATGACGTTTTATCTGCTGTCTTAAGTTAATTTACTGGAGCTAGGCACTTGTGTTATCCATCTTTCCCACAGAACTGTGTGTGAAGGCAAATAGTCGTGTCATAACTGACGATGACTGATATCATTTGTAACATGGCTGTCCTCATTTGGCAGCAGTAATTCTCTTGCCATTCTCTCCATTATATGTTAAGTGTTAATCTATGTTTGCAAGCAATATTTTAAGAGAAAAAATCATCCAGCTTGGCCACGTTCTACTGCTGTGCAGTTAAGCTATGTTTATATATTTAATTTTTCCAGAGAGGTAGCAATCAATATGGAAGGTACGATTTTAGATTCTTTTTGTCTCACAAAAAAAAATAAAAATATATATATATATAAAGAATATAAAAAGGTATTTTGCAAGTGGCACCTGAATGGCAGAAATGTTACTTCAGTAGTGGATTATTTGCTGCCTGAGCCATACACTTCGTCTGGTGCTCCATTGGAATCTTCCATGTTTTGCCCATAAAGTTAGAGGATTGCTTGTTTTTACTGTCAGTTGTGTATCTTGAGTCCTCACCAGCTTCCTTCCTTCCCATCTACAGATACAACATTGTAACTTGAAGATGTTTAATAATACATTAACATGTAGCATTTTTCAAATTCCCACAGCAGACCTACTGCTAACGCTGTCAGAGGTTCAGAAGAGTTTCTTATGCAGCACAGTTGCATGTTCACTTCTTGCAAACAAACCTTTTGTGGCACCTTTGTGGAGATAACCTCAATTTCGAACTGATACGATGAATAAGTTTTTGCTTTAATGTAGCTGTGGGTACTGAATGCAGTGCCACATGCAGTAAAAGCTATTTTCAGTGCAAGACGAGTAGTCTGAATAGCAAGACATGGTTTTAGTAGAGGAGAAAAGTGTCTTCTTGGAGTGATATGTTAAAGTGTGAAGTTTCACAAGAGCTGCTCTCTTCTTTGAATATTTTATGTAAGCCTAAAATGAGTATCAAAACTTTAGTTCCAGCTCATATATGCGATTGGTAAATAGCTATCAAAATATTTCCCAATCACTAATAAATTCAAAAGGACGTTGTGCAATTATTATAGTGACCAGAAAAACTGGTCCTGACTTATGAAAACTACTAAATGCCAATTCAGACTACAATTGTTTAGCATACGTGGAAAGAAGTCTGAAGTATGTTCTGCCTAATTAAAAGAACAGGTCCAAAATTTCCAGTGTCAGCTCCTAGTGTTCAGAAAGAAATAATTAACAATTACTGCAACAGCATATGGTTCAATTATAGTATGCGTTTCTGGCTTTGATGCTTTTCCTCAAAACAGTTGTTTTTATTCCTATCAATTTTATTTTTTAGGCCAGTACACGGGCTCATTTTCCTATTCAAGTGGCAGCCTGGAGAGGAACCAGCAGGTTCTGTTGTTCAGGATTCCAGACTGGATACAATATTTTTTGCTAAACAGGTACGGCAAGTTCAGTATTTTTGTTAGATGTGTCATGAAACAGAGCTTTTAATGCTGAAAGGTAAACTAGCATTTTGTTAAAATGAAAGCAGAAATTAACATTTTGCAAGGTGGAATAACTTGCAACAAGTCCTGTGGGACAAGAAACAGTGTATAAGATGACAGATCAATCAGATTTGCTTTGCTAATCAAGTCAAACAAAAATATTATCAGGTATAGAAAAAGTAAAATTTGTATAGGAGAGGGCTGACAAATAGATAAGAGCAAGCAACTCTTCTGTACCATAAAGAATCGTTTAGTTTTTGACAGAAGGAGCAAGGCTTGTTTTGTAGTTAGCTTTTTTATTGATGTGTTGGTTGTTTTTGGTTTGTTTGTCTTTGTTGTTCTTTTTTTGAAACCACTTTCAACAAATCATAGGAAAAAATGTTTTTCACTCCAGTTCTTGTCTCTTGAGTTTATCAAATACTCTGCAGTCAGGTCAATATGTTTCCAGGGATAATGCTTTTCTTTAAGACTTTACAGACGGATTTGGTCTGTAAATTTTAAGTTTGAAGTATTTAAATCAGAAAGTTGAAATTGAGTTGATTATTTTTGCCAATGCAATCCATTGCATTTTATTAAATACAGCGTAGTACTGAAATTCTGTGTTACCTTTGACAGGCTGCTCTGCATATTGGTGTACTGTTTACAAGCAAAAAAAAATCGAGAGAAAATAACCGGAATGAAAGCAGAAGTGTGTAATATTTTTTAAAAACTTTTTTCAAGATATAATTGAAACTGTTCAAACAAGAATGATAGCGCTATATGTTTTAAACACAAAGCATGCATATCAAAGGGCAAACCATTAGGCTTTCTGAGAAGCCTCACACACTCACGTCTTTTTCCACAAATGCAGAAGTGCTTCCTATGTAAATTTCAGGATATAAAGAATTGTCCACGAACTCCTAGCTAGAAACAGAAATGTGGAAAGCAATGGAATCAGAAGGTATATTCATAGCTCACCTGACTACTCTGTATATGTGCTTCTGTTATGCAGATAATAGTCTTTAATTAGTTTCTCTTATAATCCTTTTACCTTACTGTTTCATGCTGTTGTGGCTGACTTTATTCCTTGGGCTATTTTAATACTATTTCTTGATTCTTCCCCTGCTGCAGCTCTTGAGTCCTGCCAAGCAGTGTCCATCGTTCTTGGATACAGTGATCAGCAGTAGTTTACCTTTGTCTTTACAGCTTGATTGGCATGATAGGCACCACTTTAGGTTATTCTTTCTAGGCTTTAACTAAGGCTGACTTCTCCAAGGTGAGAGTTTTAACTCAATGAGCTGTGTTTTGAGGATTAATAAGTGTTTTCTCAAGTAAGTGGCTGATGTGCATATTTGCTACTGATTATGATATGGAAGTCTTGGTCTTCCCAGCCTGCCTCCTTTTGGCTGCATGGTTCTCTTCTTCTCTTGCCATGGCTCAGATGCTCACTGAACTTCCATGAGCCGGTGCAGATCGTTAGCAAGCAGTTTTCTGTAGGTTTCCTGTGCTTATTTTTCTGGGTTAGTCTGCTGCCACATTGTCAGACGTATTTATTTAGTCTCACAATGAGAGTTTGTATAGGCCAAAGCTGGTAAAAGGTGAGTGGGAACAAGAGCTTCTCTTATGGTAGAGGTGATGTTACTGTATTTCTTGAAACCACAGTCTGTGAATCTTGCTGAGTCACCCAGGAGCAGAAGGGAAGACAAACATTGCTGTTTAAGATTTCTATTGTAAAATAGCAACTTCTCCCAGCTATCATGCAGCAGGGTTCATGTCCCTTCTTTGTTTAGTTTCCCCTTACATATTTAAGGCCAATCGTATGGTGGCTTTGAGGAGGGTAGGGGCGTTATCTTGCAAGAACCTTTTTATTATTATTATTATTATTATTATTATTTTTAGCATCTAAAAAAAAAATGTGATCAATAAGATAACCATATGTTCATTTATAGGATGTAAGCCCAGGACAAATAGAATTCATGTTTGGGTTAGCAAGACTTGTATGACTTTTAAGATTACCAGCCTGTTCGTTTCATCAAAGCTGACGTGACACTGGGGCAATAAAAATCTCATTAAGTTCGTTGAGTGCCTTTTTTCCCATTTCGATGCGTTTTCTTCTTTTAAATGTTATCATCTAAAGATTGGGTATAATACATCCTACTGCAGAGAAGTTCTAAAATGAAGTTCTGAATCCTCTAAGAGCAAGACTAAGTTGTTAATATGCAACAACAATTCAGTATTGGAAAGAAACGATATCAATAGTGTAGCTCCATTTCTGTTCAGTATTAATTGGATATTATATGTTGAAAATTATTTGGCAAGAAACTTTAGATATAAAAGGCTACAACTCCTATACCCCATCCAGCAAAACAACTTTCAAATTGTGTTAGGAAACCTGATTTTTATAAGCTTTTGCATGCTCGTATTTTGCTCCTACCCACTTTCATGATGATGTTGTAGCTGAATTTTAAATGGCGATTTGATCTTGAACAAGGTTAAATCATGAGTATGCTTGGGGAGGGGGGAGGAGTTTAATTTTAAAGTCTGTCAAATCTGCATGCATATTAAAGGCTTTTTTTTTTTCTTTTATTGGTCAGTTTTACGTGCACTCATCTTAAATTTGGCCTCCCTGTTATGCCTAGGTATGATTTGGCCCTCTTTTTGGGGCCACAGAACTCTGGATGAATTGCCCTTTGAGCTAGGATACCTAGGCACAATGAGGTGAGTTAAGGATACAATTCCAGCCTTAACTCTGAATTTCCTGATTTCTGTGTTGTTTCAGTAGGCCCTTGCCATTATTTTTACATGCAGCAGTTACGTGGTTGTACCACTCCATGCATTCAGCTGTCTTTAGCACCGTTTTGAATAGCTGTACTCTGTGCTGACCGCTGTGGAAGTGGAAGCATCTTTTGACAGAAAAGAAAGCTGTAGCTGTAGACTTGCCTACTTTTTTATTATTATTTTAATAACCCTTTCAATTTTTATTACTGAAGTATTGATATAATGCATTTAATTTGTGCCATGTATTTATTGTGTTGCATTGTGATGATAGAACATTACAATTGTGATAATAAAACAATAACATTATTAATCAGGAAAAAAGTCTGTATCTTCAGAAACAAAATCTTGCTAGTGTAATAAATGATACTGTAACAAAAAAACTTGGGTTTGTAGTTATCTTTGTGCCACTAATTAGAGCACATTAAATATTGTGTTTTTTTTCAAATACTTCAGTTGATTTCAAACTTTTTTTTTGACATTTTCAGGTTAGGTAACATTAAAATTGACCAGACACCCATGCTAAAGCAAAACGTGAAATACCAGATAAAGTCATAAGAAGTTGAATGAACTTGGATACACACCTGATAAAAATCAGAAAGATTTTTAGTAATGGAACATAATGACAGGAAGATTGTATTTTATTTTTTTTTTACCAAATGATGGCTTACTTAAGTTAGATAGGAGTTTTAAACATTAATAAGTTTCAATGCTAATTTTGTGCCATTGGGCTTTGTAAAGCCAACTGTTTTACAATGCTTTGATGCTTAGCATGTAGACCCTTGAGGTTTGCTATTTGTATTAGTAGTTACAGCACAGAGCTGTTTAGAAGTTTTGTTTGAAAAACAAACTAGGTGATCCATCAGATGGAGGACGTAATTTGAGGACTCAAAGTACTACAACCTTAAGTTGACCCAGAAACTTGAGCTGAATTCCTAGGGAAAGGTGTCTGCTTATGGAGTTGTGAACCTTAATGGGAGAGCGTGACAAAATAGCCTTGTCAAGTAGCTCCTTGCTAATGGCTTTCTTTTCAGCTAAGTGTCACTTGGCAGTGCAGCAGTATTCTCAGGGTGTTGAGTCTGGCTTCTGCATCTCGCTAGTGCATATGTATTGGTGGTTGGTTTGTGTTTGTTTACTTTTCATTTTGTTTTCAAATATTATTAAATGGAGCTTGTAGCTTCCAACAGCAAAATCTTTCAAATATGGATGTCTGCTTTAAGTCAGAATCCTTGAATATTGATCAAATCAGTGTTCAAATGCTCCAGGACTTACTGGACAGAAATATACAGCAAGTTTGGAGATTTCTGGACAAATGCAGAAAATCCCCCATAATTTCTTCAATTCAAACTATTATGCTGAAAAGATTTTTTTCTAGGACAACCTGTGTGTATTGTCATGCTGTCTGAAAGTAACAGAGTTAAGTTAGAAGTTGGGGTAGATGGGCATCCTGACCATTTCTCTCTAAAAGGACTTAATAGCTTGCATGTACAGCAGTGTTGGACTGGCTGCATGCCGTGACAGGATGCTGAGCTGCGTAATAAGTAAGCCTTGCACTCATCTACCTTTGGTACCACAGTCGCCTCCTTGGTCAGTGTACTTGGCCCTGCCTGTGGGCTGCTGCTAGCTGAGCACCTCCTCCTTCCACCAGGTCCTTCTCCCTCATCTGGCTCCAGCACCACGCTGTCCTTTTAGATCAATCACCTGCCCTTCCCTCTGTTGCTCTGCTGGAGCACTCTCTTTTTACTGCTTTTTCCTTCCCTTTTGCCTCACATTTTCGGGAGTATTTCTAGTTCCTGTAATTTGTTTCCATTTCGTTAGCACTGGTCTAAGATCTGCATTTGTTCTGTATTGCTTTCTAGCAGTGAGACAAGATAGTTTAAGATGGTTCTTGTACACTTAATCAGACTTCTTCCATACTGCACTTGGAATACAAAAATGTCCAATATTTGCCTTTCAGTGTAAGACCACAAATCCATGCTGAGTTTATTTTTTTTCCCTTGTGTTTTTGCTGTTAGTTCAAGCTCCTGTATCCAGCTGGTCCAGCTTCTGTGCGGATCTGCCTCTAGACTCGAAATGTCTCTTTTACTTTCCCTTCCCTTTCTGAATTCACTGTTGGGTTAGCAGTCTGCCAGAGCAACTCATCATTCTATCTTGATTTTTCAGTGAGAATTATCATCACATGGTGTGCTCTCTGCTGTTAATATTCTGTGTGAGTTATTCTGCAGCTGAAGTTTGCTCAAGTGTACCTTCATTTTAATAGCACGCGCTTCACTGCATGGGGTCTCTGCTGTCCTCCCTGCCTTCTTCCTGTGTCAGCTAAGTTTCCTCAATGTTTGTACCACTGCTTCAGGCCAGCCTGCTCTAATCCATTTCAGATCCTCCTGTTTTCAACCTAGTACTCTTACAACAGTGTCTGATACCACTCCGTAGTCACACAGCAGAGAATCTTTCATTCTTGGTTCCCTTTATGTGTTACAGTTTGTTGATTTCAAATTATTTCATTCTATTGGTCTGTGTTATTCATTTTTTCTGCTGCTGTTTGTTATCTCACTACCCTCAACTGATTTTCCTTCCATGCTCTTTCTTTCCTAATTGTGCAATGCAGCCTTTAGCTTGCCTACCTGCAATCCATTTAAGTCGTTTCAGGTGCTGCATGTACAGCTGACTCCCTTGGTTGAAATTTAAGACAACCAGATTGTATTTTTCTTAAACTAAGTGTTTTGTTATTACTTTATGATCTGCACTAGAAAGACATAGTATGAATGAAGAATGTCATGAACTATAAAAAAATAACTGTCTGATATGGCATATAGTGTTAACACAGTAGGATTTCATAAAAGATCAAGAGAAACAAGTGATGTCTCTGAGGAGGTTTCTGGAGTGGGAATGGCAATGCAAAGGACAACACTGATTGACAAAATTTAAATAAAGAGAATTAAAGAAAAGCAAATATGGCCAGATACTTCTGCCTGCTTTTGACAACTCTTTACATTCAGTGAGGAGAATTTGATGGTTTTGATCGTGAAAAAAATTGTTCATTCTTCCGCCCTGCAGCCCTTTTTTCTTGTTGGAAGTGGTTTCGTATTCAGTCCTGAAATTATTTTCTTTTTTTTTTTTTTTTTTTTTTTTTTTTTAAACAAAAGCAACATTCTTTCTCCCAGTCTGAAGGTTTAAGTACCATTTTCAATTGAAAAATAGTCTCACAGGTTGAAAATACATTATTTTTCTCAGCTCACTGAGGGAAAAAACTGCTGATTTGAAGTCCTTCTGGTATTATGGTCTCATTTATGTTCTTTAAATGCTATATACATATTAGTGTGGATATGATTTTAAAACTATTAAAGGCACAACTGTAATGTGAAGGAGTTTGTTTATATTTCTAAAAATTGAATATTTAGCTCAAGTCTAAGGAACAGTCACGCAATAGTAACTTAAGTATTATGTTGAAAAGGATAGGTACACTGGAAAGTAAGAAACAATTATGAAATTATTTTTTTTGTGTGTGTGGTATCTATATTTCATATGGCATTCAGCAAAATTTGATACGTTTTGTCCACCATAACCTTTTAAGAAAAACATTCCAGATCTGGTTATGTGCTTCATTGCCCAAATGAATATTCTGTGAGTGCTTCTAATCCTGTTAGGAATACTGATTATTTGAACTATTTGAATGGCATCCTGTTTGGGAGGATGACTCTTGTTTTTTAACACTAGATTTAATATAGTTTGGACAGCTTGCCATGAGTAGTGTTTTACTGGTCATTCCATTAAAATCAGAGGGTTCCTAGTTTGTGTTATTTCCATAGTTGTTTGTTGTTTTGTCCTTTATTAATGGACAAAAAGGGAGGTAGTCAGTAGAATGACACAGTTTCTAACAGAGGTGTGAAACACTAGTTTAATCAGTGACTAGTATACATCATTCAGTGTTCATTTCATTGGTCTTCTACAGCAAAGTTGTTCCTGTGGTTACTCAGCTAGATTTGTTGTCTTGTTTGAGAGGGAAATAGTAACATGAATAAGCGAGGACAGTGTGTGTATCCAAACGTGTTACCTAATTTGAACTATATTTTTGTCACCATTACTGAGCAAATTCTCAACGCTTGCACTTTTTTGTAGGTAATAAATAATGCTTGTGCTACTCAAGCCATAGTGAGTGTGCTATTAAATTGCGCTCATCAAGACATCCATCTAGGAGAGACTTTGTCAGAATTTAAAGAATTTTCACAAAGTTTTGATGCTGCGGTAAGTGCTTACTATTTTCTATATTTTAAGTATCAGTGTTGTATATATATTGACTTACAATTTAACTTCTTTATTTAATTTCAGATGAAAGGTTTGGCACTAAGCAACTCAGAAGTGATTCGGCAAGTGCACAACAGTTTTGCCAGGTAGCAAATCTTTTACATGTTTTCCAGCTAGGCAGAATTCAGGCAAGTTCTTTTTAATCTCAGATCTTTTTTTTTTCTCTTTCATTTTCTTTGCAGACAACAGATGTTTGAATTTGATGCAAAGTCTTCAGCAAAAGAAGAAGATGCGTTTCACTTTGTAAGCTATGTTCCTGTTAATGGACGGCTATATGAACTAGATGGATTAAGGGAAGGACCAATTGATTTAGGTAATATTTCATCTTTTCTGAACATCCTTCCTTTTAACAATAACTTGGTGGAACAATTTGGTTGTATATATGTTCTAGGATCAAATTAATTTATTTATTTAAAAAAATATAGAGATTTTCTTAATGTACAACTCAGTCACATACTTTGCAGAAATTCATATTGTTTTATTTTTGTTAATCTGAAAATCCATTTTTCTTCCTGCTTCCACTGGGTTTCTGATTCTCTCTCCTTTCATCCAGTAATCAAATGAAAAGCCTATGCAATCCTGTGGATTTCTAATAATTAATAGTTTTGTTGCAAATTGAGAAGCACCGATAATATACTGCTGGTTATTTGCTTTTCTTATGTGAGGAAATAAGTTGTTTTCAGCTTTGTCTCAAAAAAAAAAAAAAAAAAAAGTTAAAACCATGTAATGCTTTTTGCTTTCATTACAATTAATGCGTGGTTCCCCTTATTCTCAGTGTTATCTTTTGTTTGTGGTATTGTCACCCAAGACAATTCCCATGTCATGTTTTGAAAGCTAATTTTTTACAGGTTAATTGTAACGTATCCCTTTATTTTATTGTTCGTTTTTGCGGAAATACAGCTGACCCCATGTAGTTGTACATTATGCAGCTGACACTTAGACCGTGCCCACTTTCTCCATAGGTAGCAAATATTTTCCAAAATATATCAGAGAGAATAGCTGCTCATAGCTTATTTTTATTCTCTGTTAGAGTTCCTGTTTCATGTCTTGTAGTCTTCCTTAACTTGTGGTATGTGTAACATCTTGTATCTTGAAAAGTTACAGTCCTACCATGTTTCTGCACTTTCTTTTGACTCTGGTATAAGCCAGAGTGTTCCAAACTCTGTTTCCAACATCTTTTCTCAATGTGCTTGACGATTTTATTTATTTTTAGGCTGAGTAATGGCTTTCTGCTAAATATCACCTTCAGTCTGGCTGCTGACTACAACCAGCACATCTATCAACAGCGTAACTGTTATGGTCACAAGATCATACAAGCTTTTTCATTTATTGTACGGTCCTGAAATTGCTAGAAAGACATTATCAATTTATGAAATTAACCTTTAGTTAGTCTAAACAGACTCTTGAGAATCTTTAGTTGGTTGCAAGAGAAACAGGAGTCTAAGTTATCAATCATATATCCTTTTATTTATTTTTTTCTGTTTGTCTTTTTAACATAGTATTCCATAAGCAGTGTTAACTCTTTATTTCACCTAAATAGAATGGCTATGATTACCATTACTTTTTTCCTTTTTCTGTGCTCTTTTATGTTCTTTGGAACAATTGGTCACATTTGTAGGCCTAATGAAAAAGCAGAACTTTTATTGGAAAATAATTATTTATGACAGGGAATAAGAAAATCAATAGTCTCCTTTACTTCCTTATCTCTTACACTCTCATACGATATGAAGATTTATTAAAGGTATGATATGCTGTGCTCTTCCTCTGAAGAGTCCATCCTTTTTTACAGATTTCCAACCAGTTAAAAAACTGTGGCCTTTATTGTGCAGTTACACTGGTTTGTGTTCTCATTGAAATTAGAATTTTCTTCTGTTCTTTATCACCATGGTAAATGTTAGATGCTTTTGCTATTAAAACTGAGTTTTGTTCTATTGTTTTGGGAAGTTATCTAAATACAGCTATTCAAAAAAGTGTAAATCCACTTCCCCAAAAGATCATGTGATCAACTTGAGACTGCAGTTGCCTAGGAAGATTCTTGCCTAGGAAGAACCTATTACATATTCTGTCTGAAACTGCTGCATAATCCAGAATTATACAAGTTCTGAATCTTCAATAAGCTTTGAAGAAGTCATTTTTATTTTTTTATTTTTTCTAGGTGCGTGCAATCAAGATGACTGGATAAGTGCTGTACGGCCTGTCATAGAGAAACGTATACAAAAGTAAATGATCATGATGCTTTTAAAATACGGCTCCTTATATATTTTTTAAAAATATATCCTTATTCTTGATTTCCTTCAATTAAAGGCTTTCAACTGAATTTCTAAGGAATGAAGCTTGTGCGTCATTTTATGCGCATATCACAGCGTGACTTCAGAACCTATTGCCCAACATGAGCCAAATGTGATGAATAGATTAAGTCTCAAATACGCTGTGTTCCCGTATGATTAATCAAAGTAGGTATCTGTAGTGAAGAGAGATGCTGCTAGTACTCTGAAAAAGTGCGAGCAAGTTTAACTGTTAGACACCTGTGGGTCTTCACAAGTGAAAAACTCAGTGCCATTACCATAGATAAAGTTTGGGCATGCACTTTTAATTCAAAATACCAGATAATAAATATATTCATACATCTGGTATTTATAGAAAACAAACTTTCCTTACGTATGTTGGTTATTTTGGAAATTTCAGCCAGAAAAAGGCACTACAGAAGTTTCCCAGCTTCCTAGCTGTGAGCACAAGTTACAGCCATAAACATGTTAAAATTGATTTATGTTGGTTTTAGAAAATAATTTTGAAAATCTTTAACTTGGAGACTTTTATGTGGTAAGCAAAATATGACTGCCACACCCCATTTGGAGAATTTAAACTCTGGAAGGACTGTTAATCTAACTGTTGAATGTACTTTTCACATCATATGGGGATGTTACTGTCTAAAATGTAACAGTAAGAAGGAAATAAAAACTATTGCATGCAGCAGTCTTGTACAAATTTCATTGTCAGCCATATCTTTTTTTTTTTCCTGGTGCCTTTCTTTTCTGAATACAGTTTCAAATAATTAATTTTTTTTTTGACCACAGGCAGGAACAGTAGTATGTTGGAAGAACAGGTTATTAGGAGTTACAGTTTGGATAGTGCTAATCTGAGGTCTGATTTTATTTCATGGCAGGATCGGATCCATAGCACAACTTAAATTAATAGAACTCTTTATGTTCCCTCCCCAGCCCTCCAAAAATGTATTCCCTTATAATGGAAGGAAATCCTGGAGGAGGCTTTTTGATTTGAGACTAATTTTGATTTGTTTGTTTGTTTTTATTTAGATACAGTGAAGGCGAGATAAGGTTTAATTTGATGGCTATTGTGTCTGACAGAAAGATGATATATGAACAGAGAATTGCAGAATTACAGCGGCAACTTGCAGAGGTAAGTCATGGTATTTAAGGTAGTGGAGTAGTTCTTTGGTGACAGTTCTGTCTTTATTCACCTCCTTTTCAAGTAATAGGAGCAGGGATGGATTACTATACCTGTCCAATGCTGTGCTGGAGATACCTTGGTAATACCCAGGGATCACCTGAGTGAGCTAATTTGAGCACTCAGTACAGGATGGCCACAGAATATGGCTCTCTGTCCTGGCTAATATGGTAACTGTGGTAACTGAACCGTTATTTTCCTAATTAAAAAAAAATAATACACTTAAAATTAACTGCAGAAATTCCTTAACTGTAAGCAAAACTGAATCTTTCTGTAATAGAAATACTCAAAAGGCACTTTGGGACTTTTTTGCACTAACTTTGTTTAACACTTTCTGTTTTGTGGAAGGAGGAGCCTATGGATACAGATCAAAGCAGTAACATGTTAAGTTCTATACAGTCAGAGGTTGCAAAATACCAGATGTTAATTGAAGAAGAAAACCAAAAATTAAAAAGATATAAGGTATGTAGCTTTTGCTTTTTGATCAAAGTATGGGAAAAATGCAAGAGAAAGCTAGCTGTTATGTCTATGGGAGTCTGTTGCAATTAATTTGAGGGAATTGGATGGATATTAGAAAGACAACGTGCTAAATATTTTACATAAATTCACCTGCCAATCCTGAATTTACCTGTTACTTACCAGCTTGCTTCCTTTGCCCATAAGGCTTACAAGTCAGTTTGCATTCTCTGTAGTTCTGTTTTGTCAATTCTTTGTGTATTTCTCACTTTAAAAGGTTATTTTAAGCATAGTGAATTTGCTTACATAATAACCATGTAATAATTCTGTTAATGTTTTAAATTAATTTTTAGATTGAAAATATTAGAAGAAAACATAACTACTTACCTTTCATCATGGAATTATTGAAGACTTTAGCAGAACACCAACAGTTAATACCATTAGTAGAAAAAGTGAGTATTTTTTAGTTGATTTATAACAAACAAACCAATATATTGCTGTAATTTTTTATACCTTCTTCTTTAAAATGCAGTCAATTGTTTAGGACAGTATAAATGGCATGGGTTCATTTATTGAAACTGTTACGTTGAAATATATTGCTGGTTTATCTGATAGTCCCTTGTGATTCTGAAGGTAGAATTCTAACAGAGATTTGAGATAGAGCATGCTTTTGCATAAAAGTGTTCAATCTCCTCTTTGATAACATAAATGAAGTTTTCTGATGGTGATAAAGGAAGAGGCAATCCAGTATCAGGTAAAGGTCATGTTACAGCACATAAAATCTATGGTACAAGCATGATTTTGGATTTTTCTACGCTGAAAATTAAAATTCCTATTAAGGCTGTGGTGTGGAACCTCAGTTATGTAGTAGAAGTTCTGCCATGCTACCTTAACATCCCTTTCTGAACTGAAAATAAGAGTATACGTGTACAGATACCTAGGTACAAGGCTGATCCCTTTTGCCAAGCGGGAGTCTTTAAAGCTGTTCTGGTGATTTATTTAGCTGTCAACGCTAGATGGCAACCTTAGCACGGAACTCTGGTAATTCAGAAGACTTGAAAATTGTTATTGTCTTCATCCCGGTACCAATTCACTGGCTCATTGCTTTGCCCTTTGTATAGTATCTAGCCATTATTATAAACCCTAATAGCAAATCAATGTTAAAGCATGTTTTTTAAAGTGTCTGTCACCTTGACAAGGTTGTTAAAGTATATTTATAGCAATATGGCTATTTAAGTATTTAAATTGTAATTAGATTATTGTACTAGCTTGTATATCTATTGATGTGCAGTAGACAGTATCCCTCATTTTCAACTCACGTCAGAAAAGATCTGTATATTATTAACTTGAAAAAAAGAGCTAAATATTATTTAATGAGTATATTCATTTAGCTAAATGTACTTAGAGTACGTTTGTAGAGTAGTGGTTTATAACAGTAACTTTACTCTGGTTTTATGATGTTCTGATATATAGTTGAGGAGGAGGGGAGAGACAATGAACACTCTTAGGAACTATCTGTGTTTTCTTGATGCCCATAGAATAGAATCAGAATCATTTAGGTTGGAAAAGACCTTTGAGATCATCAAGTCCACCGTTAAGCCATGTCCCTAAGCACCATATCCACAGGTCTCTTAAATACCTCTAGGAACAGCAACTCTAATACCTCCCTGGGCAGCTTGTTCTAAAGCCTAATCAACCTTTCCATGAAGAAAGTCTTCCTGATATTCAGTCTAAATCTCCTCTCATGTAACTTGATGCAGTTGCCTCACATCCTATCACTTTTCACCTGAGAAAAGAGATTGACACCCTCCTTGCTCTGCAGCCTCCCTTCAGGTAGTTACAAAGAGCAATGAGCAAAAAAAGCTTCAAGCTTCCTTTTCTCCAGACTAAACAGCCGCAGTTCCCTCAGCCACTCCTCATACGTCTTGTTGTCTAGGCCCTTCACCAGCTTTGCTCTTCTGTGCACACACTGGAGCAGCTCAGTACCCCTCTTGTAGTGAGGGGCCCAAAACTCAACGCAGTACTCAAGGTGCAGTGGGACAATCATTTCCATAATCTTGCTGGCCACGCTATTTCTGATACGAGCCAGGATGCCATTGGCCTTCTTGGCCACCTGGGCACACTGTTGAATCACGTTCAGCACCACCACCTCTTTTTTTGCCAGGCAACTTTTGAGCCACTTCCCCAAGCCTGTACCACTGCATGAGGTTGTTATGCCCCAAGTATGGCCCCCAGCGTTTAGCCCTGCTGATGCAGCATCACACAACTTGATGTGGCCCATTGATCTAACCTGTCCTGATCCCTCTGCAGAGCCTTCCTGCTCTCAGGCCAGACAAACAGTCCCACCCAACTTGATGCTGAATTGCAGACATCTAGAGGAATTATATTCACTTAGATTACATTTCTTGGAACAAATCTTCCTTTAATCTTGAATTCACCTGTTAATATTTTCCAGATAATCTGTATCTGAATCTAAGTTTTGTCTGAGAAGTAAAATATTTTCACTAGTAAGAGTTATTTGTAAGCTAAAAGAAATGAGTGGAGGTAGGAAAATTGGAAGTTAAAATTCCTGTTTTAAAAAGAAGTGCTTCCACACCCCCAGGAATTATGTAACTTTAAAATTTCTTTTGTATTATATAAACTTATGCCTGTATGTATCCTTACATGCTGTTATACATAAAATGTTATTAGTAGTAAACCAGCAGTAGGATACCTCTGAAGCATCTGAATGCACATTTTGAATGTCTCTTTCTACAACATTCTGTGCTGAAGGTTCAGTAATAGAATGACTAGTCAGTCAAAGCTATAGAAGGTAGATCTGTCTTATCAGAGTTTAACGGTATCTCCCTTTGCTTTCTAGGCGAAAGAAAAACAGAATGCCAAGAAAGTTCAGGAGGCCAAGTGAAGATGACTGCACAATACATATAATTATGTGCTTCTGAAACTATTTTCATGACAACAAATAAAACTTTTCATAAACTCTAAATTTTGTCCAGCGCACGTTTGACAATTGTTACAGTTTGTCTTGTACTGTATGCACGGGTCAATTTTTTTTCCTCCCCTTGCATCATGTGCATGTAGGGCTACTAAGTAATGTTTAGGTTCTCTTCATCAAACTCAGTATTTAAAAGTCTGATTTCTGAAAGCTTGAGAAGTGAGCCTAAAACGCATAAGGAAAATGTACCCATTTTGTCCCACGTAAGTTTATGATGATGCGAATGCCGGAATTTAAGCATAAGCATGAGCTTCCTTTGCTCATCCCTACTAACAGTTGTTCTGAGCTCATCCCAACTATCCAGATGTTCAGCGACATGCCCTGTGTCTTTGTTTCTAAGAAGTCCATGTCTAATTTTTTTACAAAGTTGAAAATTATGAATTCAGCTGTAGAAACATTTGCAAAGACCGATGTATAATCTCAAAAGATCTGCATTGCTTTAGTAGAAAAGATAATAAATATTCCCATTTTTATTTTGGCAAACTTTCTTCCTGTGGTATTTTTATTATCGGATAAGGTAACTAAGATATGTATTGAAGGTCATCAGTCTTATGACTCTGAGTATATGCATTGTCATTTTGTCTTAGAAAGAAAGTACAGCATTGTCTCAGGGAGTTAGTGTTCTTGGATATAATTTAATGCTGTTATATGGTATGTTGAAGTTGCCTTTAAAGCAATGCTTTTTAATTCACCTTGGGAGGTAAGAGGAAAATTTAGTCACATAAGAAAATGTAATTGTATAAGAAAAAGCATGTGGGAAGATTCTTGTTCATAACATTGTCCTGGAAGATGCTTGACCTGTCCTCTGTGAACCGAAGGGAGCAGAGCTTGCATAGCCTCCTACCCTCTTAGTGCTACTCAGTGTGAACCGTGAAAAGTTAAACCATTCTTATAAGGATAGTAACAGGCCATTGCAACAATATGTAGTACTTCTTCAATTATTCAACCATTATTAGTGTATAGCATATGTAAATTAATTTAGAAAACTTCCTTCCAGTTTTCTCCTGGAAGGCTTGGACAAGAAATAAAGTAAAAGAAGTAAAAAGACTCAAATTGTTTGGAAGACATTTAAAACTGGTAAAAGGTGTTGGTTTCACTTTGCCTGTAGTTAGACTGCATTGAACTGTGAGGTCATTTGATCTTGCAGGCCTGTATGATGAGAATGTACTGTATCCAGAAAACATCTGAAAAGCCGGATATGAAACAAATTATTTTATTTGTTGGTGCTTTATATATATTGCATATATTGACAGGATAAAATTTTGACTAAAGAAATAAACTGCACTCTCCTGCTGAAAGGATACGCTTGAGTCATTGCAGTGGCTGGAAGGATAAGATTTGTTTCAAAAAAAAAAAAAAAAGGACATGAAATCTGTCTACAAAATTGATCAGGTAAGCCATGGATGAGGAGATAGCTCTGTACAAGTGTTCCCTACATTAGTATTTCATTGAGGCAGCATTGCTTAGGAAAAGGGAAAGGTTTTCTTTTTCAAGAGGCATTTCTGAGCTTAAAATTGTACTCTAAACTTCATCTGTTTAAAGTGTTTATAGTTTAAGTGATAGCCTGATGATTCCTGTTGTACCATGACATTCTCACTTTTAATAACTTTCTACAACACAATTTTCCTGTTCCATAATAATGTCAATTTGAAGTTATTCCATTCTCCTTTTATTTTCCTCTGTGCATGCTTGGGTGGGTAAAAGAGGAAAAGGAATTTTGCTAAAGAATTAAAAACAATACGTTTGTATTGTTGTTTTTGTTGTTGTTGTTTTGAAAAAACAGTTCTAATTTCTATTGCTACTGAAATGTGAATTAGTGGAATGAAGAAAAGAAAGGTGGATATTGAATAGGCAGGGAGAATGGTGAATGTCGAGATCAAATTTGAACAAAACTTGATAGTCCAGTGTGAGTGAAAAATGTGTTTTTCTTAAATCAGCCAAAAAGGCATTTAGTGTAGAACTAGAGCAACTTAAAGCTAGCATACTGTGTATCACAGTCTTTCTATTTTTCTTGATCAAAACCTTAATGATTTTAGACCATTTTCACCAAGTTTGTAAAACCACTTGTCATAAAATGTATCTTGGTTTTATAGGTAATGATTTATGTGTGACTTACATTTAGGATGGTATCACATCAATGTAAAGCTGTAAGTGAATTTGATAAATTACCAGATTAAAGGTGTTGGGGTGGGGGAGAATCAAGATAGAGGTTTGTGTATTATTCTATTACACAGTATTAAGATGTATTTTGTTCTTTATAGTATGGTGAAAGGCTTGTGCTTTGATTTATTTCAAGGGCTATGCATTTTGCTGGAAAAAAAACATGTTGTGGAGTAGCTGTCAAAACAGAAATTTGGCCATACTGGTAGCAAACAGTAAGTTCAATTTTTCTGTGAAGAAATGTGCTTTACCGTTGCTGTTTCCTGTCCCCCAAAAGAGGTCAGCGTGTCTCCCACTTCCTAAGAGTCTGTTAGCATAAAATCGCACTGTAAAATTTCAGTGTGATCTCACTGCTCTGCTTTGGCTGTCAGTGCTAGATTTAATAATAATGCAGCGTGTTTGTCTTTATTAATAGTCAGGGTTTAGACATGCTTTAATCCTGTTTACCCCCACTTGAATTTTGGTGAGTGAGGCCAAATGATGTGTAATGATACAACTGCAGCATGAGATCATGTTTGTTAGCTGATTGCTTTTGAAGCCAGTTAATGAAAATTGTAAAAATAACTGAAGCTATAGTTTAAAAATATATTAATGCTAAAACAGTAAGCACTGAAAATTATGATCCAGCAACTTAACACTCTGAACACCCATGTGATATCAGCACTATAGTGTTTCACTGAATAGTAAAGGGCATGGCATTGTCCTGACTTGCGTGGGATATTGCCTTCAACTCCTTATTACCTAAGATGTTCAATTACTTATTTATTTTTGATATAACTGTAATGAGCTGACCAACCAACCAGACTTGAATGATTCTTTAAAAATCATGTTATATTCACAGCAAGTGCAGTTCATATTTTAAGTGCTTTGATAGACAAGTTTAATAATCCTGCCATAACCTGATTTTGTCCTTCACAGGGTAATATTTTTATTTTTTTTGTACATGAGTTCTAAAACATAAATGGTAAACATATTTGCATGTTCAACAGTGTTTTGATTTGAGTGAATAGCTGCCCAGTTAAAGTCATGTGAAAATACAGTAGCACGGGTTTTGGCTAGGAGGGAGAGATGAAGTCAGACATACCACTGCACTCCTTAAGCGTTTGCTTCAGGGGAAAATAATATCTTTCCTATTGTATTACTTCAAATAAGTTTTATTTTGGTCACAGAAGAATAAAATAGAATGGACCTGCACGAGAACAGTTTAAGTTAAGTTACCCCTGAGCAGAAGAAAGTTATTAGAGTAAAGATTAGATACAGATGGTAGTACTGGTGACACAGTCTCTTGTTCTATTTAAGGCCACAGGGAGATTTAGGAAGATTTAATTTTATATATAAAGATTTGTGTGTGTGTGTACACTATATTTACACACACACAAGGCCAACCTTTTTATATGTTAAGGATAGACGTTTATGCATTTTTATATCTGTTCATGAAAATGACCTGCTACTACTAGTAGTTCTTCCACTTAGATTACAATACCTAAAATTAAAAACTAAAATTATTTTTAGCTGTCTCTCATTAAGTAATGCAAATGAGCTTATCTGGCTTTTCTTTAAAGTTCACAATATCCTTTTAAATAAAAGGGTATTGCAGAGAAGATGATCATGCTATCTGTACATACACATTGCTATATCAGCTTCTTAAATGTCAGATCAAATAGTAGATGTATTCATTCTCGTGATGCGATGGAGGTAGATACTGTAGATGTGGAGTCCATGGGTACAGTTATCCGAACATAATCGAAAACAGAGCCTCTTTGAGAAATAAATGTTTAATGATTTTCATGTCTGAGAAGGACTAAGTATGATTTAAGTCCGCTGTAGTGGCAGAGAAATTTTTCTTTATTCCTGGAAAGCCACAGTCGAGATTGATTTCCTCCCCACACACAAGTAAAAGTGTTTAGTATTGTATTTGCTTATTCTTCCAAACTGTTCCTGTAGGAAACTATCCTTCTTTCCCTCCCACAGCTTGTGCTGCAGATGTGTGTTACCTTGAGGAGTAATATTGAAGTTCACTCTTCTTTCAGTGTACAATAGATTTATTTTTCAATTCCAGGTGCTAAAGCCTTAGATTTGCAAGACTTGTGACCTTTGGTAATTAAGTTGGTTGTTGGCGTACTCTTAAGTGTGAATGAACAGCAGATAAAGTAATGCTTTGTTTAATTTCTCTTAGTTGCAATATTCCAAAGGCCTCACCTTTGAACAGTGAAGCTATAAGATTTACAAAAATAGAGGAAAAATAAGAGCCTAATAACCCTGAGTATGCCTTTCAGATATAGTTAGACCTATCTGCTTGTTATGATACAAATAGATCTGTATACTTGCTGTTTCTTTGAGTAGCTTTTCAATATAATACAACCTCATCTTACCACTTTATTTTGCATTTTTCTGCAATACTGAGCATCTTATAGCATAGGTTTTAGTCTAGCAAACATTTAGCATGACCTTTCGCTTTGACTCTTAAAAATCCACTCTTTATTTTTACGTCAGACAATTCCCTGTCTGAAGTATGCTGTTAAATGAATGTTCTGCAGTTTGTTTCTACAGAAGCTAATTCAGTTAGCATTTCCTGCAATTGTTTCCATTAAGTTTATGAGGTTAGGTAATGAAGGATCTAAACCTCTTAGTGTGTTTGAAACATGCAAGTATCAAACGAGGACTACAAAAACATCAGTGAATTCCATAAGCAGCAAGAAATTTACCCTGAGGAAGTAGCAATAATGGATGATGCTGTGGTATGTGATTCATTTTCCATTAAATTTGATTCACTTCTTGTGACTCACAATAAATCACTGATTAGACATAAAAATGATCTTCCTCCCACTGCAAAAAAAGAGAGATGTCCAATAAAAACAACGAGGAGATTTGATTCTGCTTGGGGAATCTGTTTAGTTGTTGCTTAACTGAAGGTATTTCCGTCATTCATGAAAGTTCCCATAAGCATTTTATCGTAAATTCCTCGCCGAATGAATGGTAAATACTTAAGATACCAGAAGTGTCATCCACAGGTTCAGTCGATTAAAGCAAAGAGATGTACTGGAGCCAAATAAATGGTGCCAATTTAAAAGAAGGATATAATGAATGCAGTGGATTTCTCTTTATTTGCAGTGTGATTAATTCTTTCTTAAGAGTTCTGTGATTGTAGGAAGCATTCTGGGTAAGAAATGTGTTCTGCACATGCAAACTTCACAACTAAAGTTACTTGAATCTTACCACTGAGGAAAAAAGTCAAAGGAACAAAGTTTAGATGTAGAACTTTAGCCTTTGCTTTATGCTTCAGCAGGATATTATTTATTTTCACTTTGAGACTGTATCATTAC